TCCCCCAAAGTTCCAACCTACGAATACTACGGTTTCGTACTCTACCTTTTCTCCTCTCTAACCTTCCTGCTCTACCTCCTCTGGTCCTACCTCCCATCTCCCTTCCTACACGCTCTAGGAATCTACTACTACCCCAATCGCTGGTGGTCTCTCGCGTTGCCGAGTTGGATCGTTATGCTCCTCGTATATATCTATGTTGCGCTCGCGAGTTATAATACCGGATATCTTACTCTAGGTATGAGTAATGTGGAGACGATTATAGATGGGGCTGCGAATGTGTGTTTAGTTGATGGGAGAGGAATGGCGGGAGCGAGTCATGCTAGTCAAGAGGAGAATGCTAGGGAGAAAGATAGGAGGAGAGGTAAGGAGAAGGAAAGGGGTACGGGCTATACTGGGGGAGGGAAAGAGGCGGATGTGAGGGCATGGAAGAAAGTTTGGAGTCGAGGTACAGATGCTGTAATGGATGTACCATTGGGTGGTGTGTGTGAAATTTTATATGGAGATGGGAGGGAAGATCTTGAGATGGACGATGATGATGATTATTATTGAGCTTAAAAAGAAAGACGGCGGCCGAAAGCAATCTATACCCATATCCGTTGTATCTTTAGTGCTTAAGTGTAATGACATCTAATGAACACAATTTTGCATGATGCTATGCGCAAATTCGATCTCAATTATTGGACCAGAGCATCCACCTTCTATCATTACTTCAATCTTGTTACAGGTGTTACTCATACATGACACGATGAAAACACTTATGTGATTCCAAGAAAATAGGTATCTTCATTCCGTTGTTTGTACAAGATTGGCCTCCGCTCTATACTTTCCCATCACACAACCCATATTATCCCTATGCCTTCCACTTCCATAAACGAGTTGAGCAAATCATCTAATCAGCTCACTCACCCAGGCACCCACCCATCAAAACTACACATCCACCATCCATTTTCCTCCCTTACATCATCAAATCATCTCCCACCAGTAATGCTAAAAGGCCAATCAAAAAGTTATCAGCAGACTCACTTTCTGCCAAATCAAGAAAAATAAAAGTATCATCTAAACTACAAAAACATTATCTTATCTTTCATCTCATCTTAACACATGCCGTTTTCCACCTAGGATTGGAATATTTCCTCCAAATTTATCGATCCCTACTTTCTCTTCCTAGATCATGAAAGTACAATTCGGCTGAAGTATGCCCTCTGCCACACGAAAACAACCCCCAACTGTGTGAGAAGACATGTTGATTGGTGAAAATGCAAAGAGAATGTCAAACAAATCAGAGAACATTCATATGTGAGATGTAATGCATATAACATTTAACCTCATCACTCCTTTCGACCATCCGTTCATTGATTCCATATATCCATGTAGAAGACGTATATGCGTTTCATCTCAAATGGAAAAATTAGAGGAAAAATATTGAATATGGGGTATTATCACAAATTAGCGCGCAAAAACTTTTACGACGCCATCACCTCCACCACTAACGATCCATCTTCCATCTTGACTCCATACGACTGAGCATACACCTTCCCCACGCATAAGTCTATGACTTGTCATCTCTTGAGTGCAGCTACGTGTCTCTAAAGACCAGAATCGTAGACTAGCATCATGACCTGCAGAGACAAGCTCACGTCCATCAGGAGATAGTGATAGAGCAGAAATAGCTGCTGGATGAGCAAGCATGTTGTATGTGCATTGACCTAAATTAATTAGTCATGAATTGTCGGTGAGGTTAAGGGGGTAACTTACCGCTATTAGCATCATAAAATCTAATGAAGCGATCCTCATGTCCACTGATGATAATGCCTTCAACACCACCACTTCTACCTGTTGCTCCACTAACAACATTCTCATCTTCAGACATTCCTCGATTAGAATCGGAACTCAAGGAACTATCAAGACCGGTAGTAGTTGCAACAATTGCATTGACCCCTGTTGATTGGGTGCCATTAGATGTTTCCAGACTGGCCATAGAGGCAACTTCTTCACCAGTTCTTGTATCATATACCAGAACAGCTGCGTCAGAATAAGACACGGCAAATGATTCGCCTGAAGTGGCTAAAGGTGTTATACAAGTAGGGGATGCGGTGCTATTAGGTCTGGTTATAGAATGTATTAATGTGTAATGGAAAGGCGAAGTCGAGGCAACGCTTGGTTGAGGGGATGATGGGAATGCTGAGCCAGATGACATTGAGTTACCCCGAACTCTGCCACCTCTTCGGCTACCTCCGCCAGAAGGTGATACAAGCTGTGGAGGTGCGCTTACAGACCACACTTTGACAGTGCCATCTGCAGCACCACTTGCTAAAATAATACGATCTGGTCCACCAAAAGCATTACTTTGACCAAAAATCGATCCAGTTGTACCAGGGAGTACGCAGACTGCCCATACTGCATCTGTATGACCATCGAGAGTCGCCTTAGGATCAACTCGCCCTCGCTCCCATACTCTAACGGTAGCGTCTTGGCCACCAGAGAATATCCATCCGTCACCTTGTGCACGTCCACCACTGGCAAAGTTTTGTGATGGAGACCAAGCAGTCAAGCACATGACAGCTCCAGCATGACCACGGTGAGTAAAATAACTTTGAATATCCAAATCATTGGCGCTGACATGGAATGTGCCTTGATCTTCATAACGGGCGGGAATGATCCATCTTTTAATTGTACCGTCGTCGCCTGCTGTGCATAATTCTGGTTCTCCGGGACTTCCGCCTCCAGTAAATATTACCGAACGAACTGCATCTAGGTGACCTCTGAGTCCGAATCGAACTTTGAAACTACCACTATCCGGCCTTTGTGTTGGATTTAATGAGAGTTCATGTTCGCCACTTTTCCTTCTTGATATAGAGGTTTTTCTCCGATGTGAGCCTGGACCACGAATAGGCGATTTTGGTATATCTTGAGCTGATGGAAATACATCTGTATCAGGCCTCTGAGTCGCAATCTTATTTTCTTGTTCTGTAGTTTGAGCTGGCTCATTGAAATCCCATCCATCGGTATCAGAAGAACCTGACTTCTCTATTGCTTCTTCATTTTCAATAGGTCGTCCATAGGAGTCATAAGAATGATTGACTTTTGTTATGGGCTCTTCCGCCGGTTGGGCTTTCTCTGGAGATCTAAATGTAGAAGACCATTCTTGTTGAGAAGGTTGTGGTAAAGGTAGTTGGTCTGCTAAAAACCTTGGCGCTGGATTATCGGGATTTGGTACAGAATGTTTATTAGGACTTGGGACTGGTGGTGGATTATGGTTAGGTGTCGGAGAAGGCGCTGGAGGAGCTCTTGATAATTCTGGTACTCTCATGACTTTTGATCCGGAGTATCGCTGTTGCATTTCTTCGATATTTTGCTGCTGAGCTTGGCTAACTCCGAAAGGTAGAATCTCCTCCGGTGGTTGTGGGGCTTCTCGTGGTGGCATAGGGTTTGGTGGTGCGATCAAGAGATAAGTGAGCTCTCCTTGAGATTTGTCCATAAAATCTTTCATGTTACCTTTCTCCGCTTGAACCGCCTTTTTCGCATCGGGTTCCCCGTCAACCACGAGGAATGAGTTATGTGCCTCTCTTTTAGTTGCTACATCTATTAGTCTTCAATAAGCACAAGATTTTCAATTGACTTACGACGCGAATCTTTATCCTTGGTCCCTTTATTTGCTGGCACCGGCGCTGTACCACCAGATTTGATCGCTTTCAATTGTGCCTCTCGATCCTTGGCCACTCTCTCCAACATTGTGAGGAATTTCTTCAAACTCTCATTTGACCCTTCAAGTTTTCTAGTATTGCCCTCTAATTTGGCTATCCTACTTTTCATTTCTTGTCTTTCGATCTCCCAAGCATTTCGTTCCCTCTCATGTCGATGCCACTCAGTTTGTAAGAATCGCATAACACCTAATTGCGAATTAGTTTAACCACAAGAACAAAACGACTAAGCGCATACCTTGTAGTGTATATTCTGTCCCTTGAGGTTGATTTGCTTGGTTCCCTCCATCACCTACATTACCACCCCCATTATTTTGACCTCCACTACCCCCCATACCAGATAGAGACTGCCAGGCCATCTCGTTCCCCAGGCCCAGGCCAGTCCCTCTTTTATAACCTAGAATCCGCCTTGTGCGCTAATTTCGCATCCAAATTCGAGGGCACGATGAGCATTTGTTAATCTTGGTTGGCGCAAGATATGTTGAGTGGTCGCCAAAGACAACGAGGCCTTAATTTTTCTCCAGTAAACTACCAATGCTCAATTGAACATCTTTGCGCACAGAACTGTTTAAGATAACCAAAGTACAATAGAGGTCAATAGACTGAGATTTGTGAATCTGTAAATCTTCTTTGATGCGTCTGTACAAGTTTGTCGCGTAAGTGAAACGTATGACATTCAAAATCATAAGAAGGAAGTCTGAAGGAGGGCGTTTCTTTCCAAATAGAGATCGTGAGCTACCAACCAAGCCAACTATCCAATTCTAAACCGATATCCATGTGTCAGGCCGCTTTTAAGGCCATTATAAATGCTTCGCCTGGGGTATTGTTGTCTTGGAGGTGTAGGTGACGCCGCCTTTAACTTAAGGTGGCCATAGCTCCTGTGGCATTTGAGTTTTTGGGGTCTGCGGATAGATACAATCTATAAAAGAGAGACCCCTCGAACCTTAAGGTTAAAATGGATGTTATTTTTGCCTTCGTGTTGATCTGTTGATGAATGTCTATAGAAGACTTATAGATAAGTTTCTCTGTTTCTTATTGCTCACACTTAAAGATATATCGAGTCACCATTCGCAAAACCAGTACAATATGATACTTCGATTTGTAGCAACAAGACAAAACATTCTGATACCCGCTATTGGTGTTGTATCAGCCCTAATGACCATATTGATATCAGACAATGCACAAGCTCATCTAACGCGTTTCATAAGGATAACTTTGATATCGGTGTTCTAACACGAATGCAGCGAGCTGGGGGGGGGGGGGGGGGGGTTGGAGGCTTGCATAAGAGGGAAAAAGGAATGTGTATGTACATCCTTGTCATAAAAAGCAAGTGTTTGAGTATGGTTATCGCTGAAGGATTCGTAAATATCCTTCGTGTACATTCACATATGCATACCTCGAAGGTTAACAAAGTCCAGCCTTTCCAGCCCTTCCAACCTTGATCATGACGATCATAGATATGACGTGCAAACTCCAAATTCCTTCCATATCGCTCTCAAGACTAATGAAGATACAACCCAATGTATCGATGCCCATACCCGTACTCATACACATACCCATACCCATATAATTTCCTTCCTCAAAATTCCAACTCCTCAACTTCCATCCCGCACTCTATACAACTCTTGACGCTCATTCCATCCTCGTTCTCCACCGTTTGACCCCATTCATGTTCATGTTTCCCATTACTAATCACATCTCCAAACTTTCCACCTTTTCCATCACCCGCTAATCCCCTCCTATATGCTTCGGTTCTCGTCTTTTTCTTTAATTCTTTCAGTTTACTCTTGAACTTTTCTTCTTTCCTCTTCTTCTTCTCTGCTTCTCTTTTTTCAAATTCCGCATCTAGTGCTTCTGCACTTCCCCACTTCGTCTTAAATGCATATTCCTCCACTTGATATCGTAGGAACAACATCATATCATGCCAATGTGATTTATGCGGATTGGGCTTGTTGAGATGTGGTAAGAGCTCTCCATCTTTTAATTCCGCTACAAAGAACATTAGTACAAGCCCATTATCATGCAGAAGCTATGAAACTTACGATCTGTAATGAGATAATCCTCCTTTGCCTCCGTTTTAGTTAACAAACTATATTTCTCAGGAAACTTCTCCTTACATCCATTACAAACCCTACACTTGAAAATCTCATCCCACACAAAATCGATCTCTAAACTTTTGCACTCCCGGCACTTCTTATTATCCCCTCCAAGTACACTCAACCCGGGTTCAAAGGGTCCCTCTTTCCTATTTCGCAACCCTTTCAATAGCTGATGTCTTTCCCATTCCTTCAGTGTCATATGCGCAGGTTTCTCTCCATCTTTCGATGCATGTAATGCCTTATTCCATGGATCATCTTCTTCAGCTAAGAATCCACCTTTCGTATCCGTCATCTTGCTAAAATCATGATCAACATATTTCCGAAACTTCCGTGCAGCTTGCAGTGAGGAATCATCGGCTCGCGCCTCTTTGGCAGCTTGTCGCGCATCGCGAGAAGTGGCGGGAATTGATGAGGTTGAAATAGAAGAGTGAGTGCGTTTTTGACCCGCCAGAGTTATATCGGGAGTAGCAATAAAACCCGAGGGTGTACGATTGGTATCATTTACGGACGACGCTTTCTCACGAGCTATAGATTGTTCGCGGAGTGCTTTAGCCTTGAGTCTGTTCTCTTCCTAATGAAATAACTTAGTAAATGAGAGGCCAAATTGTCTGAATGGTTGCCTTGTACTGACTATTCTTCTTTTAACGTCGGGTGTTGGCGGTGATGTAACTTGAGATCTAGTTCTTCTTGCAGGCGGGGGAGTATTCGATCTTTCCATAATGTCAAATTGTGTAAAAAAAATGGCAATTATCAAATTCCTGAACTTCCATGTATCTAATAAAGTAAATTTGTAACAAGGCTGAACTCTGGAAGTGGCGAGAAGTTTAAAATGTTCAGCCTCGGTGTTCTTGGGCTGCGCTAAAGCTAAATTCGTCATTAATACTTTCAGACCACAAGGTGAATGTATTGAACCACAAAAAAAGCTTTGAGAACTCTATGAACTACAATGGATAATGGACGAATAGAGTATAACGTAGAAAGTATTGATGGCATTGAAGGGTAGTTTCCATCTACTTGTCTCTATGATACAAACGAGATAAAAATCTCTTGCCCGTCCATCCCCCAGTTTTACCGCTCCATGCCCCTGGACTTGAAGTCCAATCCCCAGTTTCCCGATCCCCCAGTCTTTGAAAACATTACATCGTGTATGTCTGATGTTTGAACATCTATTCGTCCTTGACACCTCCACGGCCTGCCTTCTCAGCAGCCTCAATAGACTTCTTATCTTGTGTTGCGGAAGCTCCTCCTTGAAGACTGCTCATCAAACCAGCTGGTGCCTTGAATGGTCTCTTCATGTCCCCAGTGGCTGGCTGTCCGAAAAGATGAATCTTAACCATGTTACCCTCGAATGCGCCCTTGAGTGGGATAATAGATTGAATCATGAGAGGGTTGGTGTATTTGAAATACAAGTGCATAACAGCCATCATTCCAACACCCATTAATTGTGCCTTGTAGAGAGCCTTCATTTGATCGCTATCATATTTATGGACGGTAGTGGTAACGAGCTTGGGTTCTTCGGCGGAACCCATTTGGGGTTGTTCAACGTATTTGAGAGTAGTCATGTCTATAACATTAGTCTATTAGTATCTATAGTAGCTATGCGCAATGAGTTAGGCTACATACCCTTCTTCTTGTTGATCAAAAATTGAGTATAAGCGTAAACGCCCGCGATGATGATGTTGGATAGAATGTAAATCCCGCGGACAATGTTCAAAACGTTGGGATCCTCAAGAGGAACACGTTTAGAGACTTGCATCATCCCAAGGATGATGATCAAGTTGGTTCTATTTAAATCATCAGTAACAATCTCAAGAGAAACAACAAGACGGAGTTTCGGGAAAGTTGTTCATACACTTGAGGACTGATAGCCATTTTGTCTTATTTAGAAATAGGAACCGGTATGAAATGATGGGATTGATAAGGAGATCGTAATTGAATACGACCAAATGATACTTGAAAGAGATATCAATAAAGAGACAAGAGTTGTTGGTCTCTTTCTAGACTTTATGTTGTACTCTTTAAACAAATTGACAGATCCCAAGAAATAAATTTGAAGAGTGGAAAGAAGACAATCGTCGCGATTAGAAGCGGCGGCCCTAAGCTGTACTGTGCCCGAAGCTTGCCTAACAAAGTCTAGACCCTTGTAAAAGTGGCTGAGGACAGATTTGATTTTATGTTTCACTGGCCATCTATGTAACGTCGTTACCGTATTGATAATTCTCGAATATCACGAAGTAAAACAAATACGATTTAGGTAATCAATACAACATGTCTAGTGATGGCCTTGTTACATTGTTGGATTTCAACTTGATCAATCACGAGATCGAACACGCATCTATAGAAATACATATAATGAAGCAACAATTTCAGTTATCAGCACAAGAAGAATGAAGTTTCGAGGCAATCTTCATGTTTCTTTCAATTCAATATGCAAACCCTTTACTTATACAATAAGAAATTACTCAAGTGAGTCTCAATTCTAGAGCGAGTGCATCAAGTGCTTCTATCACAAGGAAACTCTTCCTCGTTTCCTCACTATTCCAAACTTGTCCACATCTTCTAGAATCCCTTGGTGTTCTAGGTTCTCGTAAATTTTCCTTGTGACATGTTATCTTTTCCATTTCTTCCTTCTCCTGCTCCTGTCGAGAAGCCTCAACCTCCAATAATTGAACCAAGTCCTTTGTCGAAACTGAATGTGGTAAAGGATGATGCTCAACTTCATCTACTGGAATCTTGTGGGCAATAAGTTTCCTTTTCGGCTGAAGATATGCTGGCACCAATGTAGATATGTCTACAAGTTCGGTGCCCTTTCCTTTTTCGCCAATCTGCAAAACCCCCCAAGAAGACGCACCATTGGATCCTACACTACCACGGTTTTCTCCGTCGCTTCTCTGTTGGGCGTTGCCGATTTGAGTATGTTGTTGGGGGCTTGAATAATTCAATATTGTTTGTGATGTGGTTAAAGCCATACCAATATCGTGGTTAGAGTTTGATGGTATATGTGGTTGATATGGACCATAGTTCGCATTATATACCGGAGACGGGACTCTTCCTATTGCAGGCTCGCCTACCATTGTCTGACGTTTTGAAGTCCTGACAGATACCCTTTGTGGAGTTGGATCGAGAATCTCGGGAGTGAGCTGTACAGGTAAGATTGGGCTCTGTTCGAGAGGTTGGTCTTCGACGCCTGATGTCCGCGCGGCCTTAATGGATATAGAAGGACCTTGAGAACTCTTCCTGGTGTCACTAGCGGGAAACGTCAGTTTGGTTCTTGTCCTCGTCAATATCATATCGCGTAGATTTGAGAACGTTGTGATTTGATCTTCACATACCTGAATAATGATACATGTTTGTTACGAACACCACCAGAGCTACGACAGCGCAGCTTTCGTAGAAAATGTGGCATCTGACGTATTTTATTACGAAAAGGATTCAAGACTTTCAAATCCTTGACACGGGGACGATATTGTAGACAGCTTCGCCAAATTGAACACGAGTCTACTCTTTCATAATAAATTTGGCGTGAACCACGATTGGGATTGATGATATTGAACGTTTGTGGGTTGTTCATATTTTTGGGAGGTAATATTGCGTCTTGTTACAAATGGGATGCATATAGCAAATATTTCTTCTAATGCATTGCCGACCTATGATTCAATTATTCCTCAGAATCATGTGTGTTTATTAGCTAGTCATAACTCGGCGACATGGAACATTTTATTTATTACTGCAAAGTCACAGTCATATTCATTGATTTCATGTTCATAGGACAGCATATTCATAGGAAAGCATATTCATAGGACATCATATTCATAGGACAGCATATTCAAACAAACGTCCACAAGTTTGCATAGTTGTATGAGTAACTGTTAGAAATCTCGTATTTTACTATCTACTCATTATGTAGTTTAGATCTGACAGATGTATTCTTGTAATAGCCTGCCATTGATTGCACAGAGAATTTCGACAGTAACGAAAGGAAAGAAACGAATCCACTGACCCTTGCCTTCTGGCCCTCAAGGCTCGAACACTATGCTTTATCTCAGTCCGGCTAAGAAGGGATTGTGTATTTGACAGAAGATATGTGCATCCCTCCCCAACATATCAACTCTCAGACCAGCTGAGATATGAACATTCATTACCAAAATGAAATAGAGAAAGAAAAGAGAAATTGAAAACCGAAAACTGTAGCACATGCCCTGGAAGGTTTGACGGTGTTGAGATCCGAATATTGAGATAATGAACGAAATTCAGAAGTTGATCGTGGATGTAGATGAACGAAACAGAATAGGATTAAGAGTATTCAGCAAAATCTTTGCAGAGTTGAGGTTTGCGGAATAGTGTCATTTGAGCTCGTAAATCTGCCTCCGATAATAATCAAAATTGAACTCAATAACCATAATAGATGAAATCATAAATTGCATACCTTGATCATTCAGACTCTTTCCGCACCTTCACTCCCAGATCTCAAGTCTATCCCCACAAAGCAGGAGAGTATTCATTAACCTTCTCATTCTTGCTCGCTTTTTTGATACTCTCAAAGCATTTTGTACACCAGCCATTATTAGGCTCCGTCACAACATTGGTTGCTTTTGTGGGGATTTTGTTCGTACAATCCTTCTGGACAAGGAGAGGTGTAAGTTGATGACCAGTCGCTTTTGCGCAAGCTTTTATTTCTTCTGCATCGGCAAGTCTTATTTTTCCGCAATTATTGCATTTGAAAACCATTTCGGGTACACATTGTTTTGGGTTATGGTTGATGTTCTGTGTTCTTGTTGAGACGGGGAGTTGTTGAGTTGTGGTATTCTTTGGAAAAGTGGAAACAGATAGATACGGACTGGGAGGAATCGTAACTTAAGTAAACTAGAGCTTCTTGTCGCCTCTACGGAGATGACTCGATCATAATACCAATTTTCGCATTATTCACATTTGGCGGATCAATGCATGAGTCTTTTGACTGGATTAATCATCATATATCTTGAAGTGACTAGGTTTAATTGCTACCAGCTGGTTTCTCCTCTTTTGCACCACTCTTACCTTTTTCTTTCCTTTTCATATAACCTTAGAAACCTTAATACCTAAAAAGCCCATATGTATCCTTATTACCCTCATCAAAAAATCCACGGATAAACTTCTCTTGCTCTGTGTATCTCACGAACACACATTGATCCCCATTGTCAGGTCTTCGAGATCACCAAATGAAACATCATTCCAACAGCTATATCTTCTTGCATTCGCATAGCCATATGAAGCAGGCAGGATTATTTCGAACTTCCTATAAAATTGGTTCTGCTTTTGATGTGGTAATTTGCACAGTGACGTGAGCTTTCCAGTGATTGAGCTGACCATGATTCGTATTCAGCTGCTGGCGAATAAACAAGAGTATACCACTATTGCACGTGCCTCTTAGTTTTTTATTTCGCATCCTGTTATATTGGTGGCCGGCTCCCAATCAGAATTCACTCATTAGGTATCTTACTACCACCCCCCTCCCCCCCTCCCACCCCATCCACCAAACTCAACCCCACAAACGCCAACAAATACATACCCAACCCCCAACCCCTCTCACATAAAACAAATCTGGAGCTCTCAGCCGTGTTGGACTCTTTTCCTTTACGCATTCTGCATTCCAAGTTCTCAATGCATCCTTGGTTTGCCCTTTCATCGGGCAGTTGTGATTTATTCTTCCATAAAGTCAGTCAGATTATGTTTCTGTTATTTTCTGGGCATTTGTTTTGATGATTTGGGGATGATGTTGAGATTTTTATAAGGAGGTTGGAGGCTGGAGGTGATCAGTTGGAGTGATTTTGTGGGTCTTTGGGGGGGAAGGAGTGGTTATTCACTCGCGACAAGAATCTATTGAAGGATTTGAATTTTGAGAACGCACATTTTATTACTGGAGTAAGAATCGACATGAATCAAAAATTATTCAAAAACTGACCTGCCACTAAATCCGCAACTCAAGCAGCAAGTATAAAAAGCATAGTTTTCTTCTCTTATGGATACCTCAGCACTATAATCTACACTCTCCCAACCCTCTCATCCATACCACAATTTCCCACCTCCACAACCAACCTCCTCCCATCAAACCCCCGCATGCTCAAAGCCGCTCATAGGCCCTCCACTCCCTATCGCTTTCCCCTTCCCCTTCCCCTTCCCCTCACTCTTCCTCTCCAAAATCCACCTCGGCGTCATGCGTGCAGCAATCCCCGGATGCCGCCAAAAATACTCCTTTTCACAAGCCGGACAGAGATGTTTCGAAAACAAATCTCTCACTTCTCGATTGAGTTTTACCAGACCCGGTGGACATGCGCATGTGCTTCGATTGCCGGAGCCGAGTCCCGAGTGGTAGACTCCACAGCTGTTACCGTGGGCTACTTTGTGGGGACAGTGTTTGAATCCGTAGAGGAATTCGGGGGGTGGAGATTCTGTAGACATGTGTTTTTCTTTTTACTTCGGAGGTTTGGGGGTTGGGGTAGAGAGTGGTGATGAGTTTGTGTTTGATTTTATTGGAATAGCTGTTGGTAGATACTTATCTTTATAGAAGACTGGTCGATCATGCGAATCCGACTTCTGGTAGATACCATTCAGCGTTGATGTTTTCAGACAGATTATTAAACTTCCTAGGTGATGATTGTGCTACAATTATGAATGTTTTGGTGCCCCACTTATTCACTCCCCTAAATTTCAGTCCTCGCTAAATGCTTGGCTCTCTTCCTCACATATTGAAGCCAATCATTCATTCGGATACGACGTATAGAAGAAAGAAATACAGGTGACAGTTTTTATAAACATGAGCTTTTTCAACCCTAGAGAAGGGATTGATTATTCAGAGCAGTTGCGACGCAAATAATCGTTTTTGATAAAGTGACATGTAAGAGAAAATCATATGTGTATATTATCTCTGGTAAAAGGTAGGCCCATGCCGACTAAGTTTTAGTTATTAATCGCCATTCGCAGTCTTCTCAATATGCCCAATACCTGTTGTGTATATAGCTTCTATGTACGCGACTAGCATAGATTCGATACTTGTTGATGTATTCTGGTACAGAATGGCATCCACTGGCCCAGTGAAATCTCCTAAGGATTTGAATTGTTGGTAAGTAGAATCCCATGATTCCAGATTAAAATGAAAGACTGAATTGATCATGAAAGCAAGTGATTCTCTCTTCAACAGATACCTATCTGAATAGCATCCTCAACTAGCTTTGTAGTACTTGAGCTGTCCGCGTAGAGTCACAAATACTCATCGGTAGTGAATCGCATACTTAATCCCGCAAAACTCCCGTTATCGTAAAGTTTTCAATTTGATCTTTGAGAGCAAGGCTCGTCCTCTCCATGGCAGTGAAAATCGCAATTTGGGAACGCTCTTGGATCTTGAGGAGCAAAACCTGGAGCATCTGATCTCATCAGATTGAGAAAGTCGATAGTTAAATCCTGGTGGAGGCTCATGGCTGTTGCCATATCCTCAGTTGTCCAAAAATTTCGAATATCTTCAGAGTTGTATTCAACGAAAATATAATACATGCAGTGACACATAAGCTTTCGAAGAGGGGAGTCTTTTGGTGTCAATTGGTATACCTCGCTGACCAAACTTACCCTGGGAAATCTGTTAGACTTTTCATATGTATTTTTGTATGTGTCGAGAACAAGATCCACGAGCTCAGGCAAGCATAGCTTATCCGCGAAACTATACAGCGATAGTAGGTTCAGGTCATGCTCAATCTTTTCTAATGAGGTAGAAGCATTAAGGACTCGCAAAGTACCAAAATATATCCAACCCATGAAAAAATCAAAACATTTTGGATCATCTTCTGGAAAGAATGCTTTACCCTCCAATCCCTCAACGAAATTACTTGAGAACATTTTTCGGAAATATGGCACTTTATCACAAAGTATACCTCGATGGACTCGGAAGAGCTTCTTCTGTGGTCCCACGTGAATATCAACTATTTCTGATCCCATAATCCTAACGCACAGTTAGCAAGCCATGATTCAAGTGACAGATTAAATATTAACTTACTCAAGAAATTCAGGAAGATCTCCTCGAGATTTCCTCAAGGACACAGCTTCTGTTCTCTTCTGCTCTGCCACATCTCGGTCTGTTTTAGCTTTGGAGAGGGCAATCCCACTCTTTATAGTTGAGGGAGAACTTTTTACATCATCGTTTTTTTCTGAAGATGAAGACGAATGTGAGCATGTGCTTTGCTGATCTACCTCGATCGGGGTTGTGGAAATAACCGACATATCGGTTCGTTTTTCCTTCAAGCCTAGTCGTAGTTGAAGAGTTTCGTTATGTCTGGTGTAAAACTCCTCTCATTAAAAATTGTTTGGCTGTAAATTCTTTCTAAAATAGGTTAGTGTGAACTCTATGACTGTAAATTGAAACGGATACATACGTGTCGAAAGCTACTTGACCTGGCCAAAATGCTCAAATGGAGGAAAGACAGTTGGGTCGTAATGACAAATTCCAGATCTGAATTGAGTATTGATTTCTCGCAGAACAATTAATAAACAACTCAAATTGTTGTGTTTGGTGTGGTGATAAGACTTGTCACAGTAAAAATTGGTTCATCTTGAGATTTAAATTCAGGAAAGATTTGACGAGGCTATTTATAAGTTTCGCTATTGATTATACACGGCAGCCACGTGTGATTCAAATTAGCCCGTACATTGCCCCAAGCAGTTGAATGACCGTAAGGTCGTTAGCCTACCTACCGTAGTACTCTTCGCGAGAGGGGTAGTGTCAATATATAAGGATTGCTTCTTCCTGTTCATAGCTAGATCTTTAGACTGAATAAAATATTGACAATCAGGACCGACATGATATCTGCTGCGTTATCCATTCTCTCCTTGTACAAGCATAAAACATCATAGAAGGAAGATCCGAGTACTATCGGAGGGATCAGAGAGGTAGATCACGCCGAGATGTGTGCATACTATGCCAAGATATTATCTGAAAGATCTACCAAGGGTCAACAGTGAGTTAAAAAATGTCCCCAGACCTAAGTATCACCAAAGGCTGACTATTTTTGAGGTTTATAGATTCGGAAATGGTTGATATCCACGTTGGAAAGGATGAGGATTCGGGTCACTTCCAGCTCCACAAATCGATTCTCTGTGAAAAAGTTCCATACTTCGAAAAGATGTTCAATGGAAATTTTGAAGAGGGCACAACTAACTCCGCAACTCTACCCGAGGATGATCCCGAAGCTTTCAACATACTTATTTCCGTAAGTACTCTTTCCTGAACTGTGATTTAACCACGCCTACTCCCCTCTACCTTCTGCAAAAGAGAGAAGTACTTGCAGATGATCATAGTTCTGCCATGAATCAAAGTGCTATTACAATAAGCGGAAATATCACGTTGTTTGTATTATCATTCCTGTTGCGTACTGATGGCTTGTTCAATATAGTGGATTTACTCAGACCAAGTGTTCCCGGTGGGACTAAGAGAGTGCACACATGAGACATGGTGCGTTGGAAAACTATATTTGTTAGCAGATAAGCTCTGTCTTCCCGACTTGATGGACCGAATATTAGACGAACTCACATTCAGCATGGACAAGGATAATTGGATGCCGAACATTACTATGAACACTCCACTCAGCGTTCCACTCAGCGTTCAGAATCTCTACAAATGCTGTCCCCGCGAGAATTGTGGTATGTTTCGACTCCTTGTCTCTTTGATGTGCCATCTACTATGCGAAACGTACAATGCACATTGCCTGGAGACTTGGCCAACAGAAGAGATTGACTCGTTTCTCACATGCCACGACGACTTGAGACATGAGGTTTTCAAGATGATGAGGACCGAACGTGAGCACACAACTTTCAGCGAGCAGTTGTTCAAACCAGGATGCCGGGTTCATGAACATGGAGAGGACCAGCCTTGTTCTCAGCTCTACAGAAGAGCAAACAAGCAAACGGAGCAAGATTCGTGAGCAATGATTAAGAACACATATCTCGGGTAGTAGATAGCAAATACGCTGGGAGTGGGTCTTCTTGTAGTCTCCAAGTCGTGGAGCAAAGACAGATTAACAGCTCGACGATCGACAGCTAAATACTAGATAACCAATAATAAAAAAGATTGATCCCTCTTTTGAGACTTTCGTTGATATACATTCATTGCTTTGACAGTTTCTGTTTGACAGTTTCTGTTTTCGCAACGTTGGTTCCAGCATATATCTGAGATACGAATTGACATCAAGTCAAGTGAAGTGAAGCTTGGGAGACCCTCGAGAGACCCTCCCCAAATAAAGTGCAAGCTCGAACCGGCCAAGCCGGAAGCAGCGTCCACGTGACCGTAGATCATCTCCCCGCCATCTTCCATTACATTCCAAGGTTACTACCATTTCTGATCATCAATAGTAGTAGGTCGAAACCTCAATTCTTCGACACAATTGATGTATATAATGTGAAGTTTCCTACATCTACAATTCATCATCTTACCGTCCCAAGGTCCCGATCTTCTCTTCCCTACTCGTATATGCACAATAATCCAATGCAAAAGGCGAATTAACTCCGACATCCGCTCTATCCTGAAATGACGTAACATGGATATCATTGATAGCTACCCCTGTGCATTGGGCTAGAATTTCTCGGGAACGGCCAAAACCAACACAGGGACGAAAGCTTATCAAGGAACATCGGCACCACCATTCGTTTGACTTGACGTCTCTACTACCAAAATAACTTTCAAGGACCACTCATTTATTGTTCCTTTTCCAAGTTTCTGTTCACAAGAATTTGTGTTTAATACTTTGCTCTCGCTCTTGCTCTTGCTCTCATCCAGTCTTCTATACTTCATTAATACACAGACTTCTTCCGATTGTGAGGTTATTGTCAATTCACGAGTGAAAGAGCAGCTGCGATAAGGAATTCCACCCAAAACCTACACAAACATCACCAAGACACAACCAATTCTCCCCAAACCAACCAATTGATCTCTCTCAAAATGCCATCTCTCGAAAAAGCTCTTCCGCAACCTAAGATTGAGCTATACAGTGGAAAATACTTCGCAGCTTGTGGACTTGGTGGTATAATTGGTATGACCCCTCTTATCTACCCCTCCATGAACCATCGCTCATCCTCAATGCCTCTTCCGGATCTTCCGCAACTAACAATCTCTTCCTCTCAGCCTGTGGCCCAACTCATACTGCCGTCACCCCGCTCGATCTTGTAAAATGTCGTCGTCAAGTCGACTCCAAACTTTATACCTCCAACCTTAGCGCCTGGTCCAAAATCTACCGTGCCGAAGGTCTTCGCGGAGTCTTCTTCGGATGGTCTCCTACATTCGTGGGATACTGTTTCCAGGGTGGTGGAAAATACGGTTTCTATGAAGTATTCAAATATCTATATGGCGAGAAATTGTTCCCACACGCAAATCAAACGGCAATCTTCTTGGGAGCTAGTGCTAGTGCGGAGTTTTTGGCAGACATGGCACTTTGTCCATTTGAAGCTATCAAGGTCAGGATGCAAACTACTTTGCCGCCTTTTGCAAACAGTTTGAGAGAGGGAATGTCAAAGGTTATTAAAGAGGAGGGATACGGAGGGTAAGTTTGCTCTCTCCTTCCAAGAGATCTCTTGGGATTTGGAAACGTATGCTAATTGCTCCTAAAATAGACTCTACAAAGGCCTCTATCCTCTCTGGGGTCGACAAATCCCTTACACAATGGTGAAATTCGCAACTTTCGAAACCACCGTCAACAAAATCTACGCTTATTTGGGGAAGCCTAAATCCTCTTATTCCGGTCTCCAACAAACTGGAGTTTCTTTCCTCGGTGGTTATATTGCTGGTATTGGTTGCGCTGTTATCTCTCATCCAGCAGATGTTATGGTCTCGAAACTTAACAGTGATAGAAAAGCCGGAGAAGGAGCTGGAAAGGCTATGACGAGGATTTATGGAAACATTGGATTTGGAGGTCTTTGGAATGGCCTACCTGTTAGAATTGTAATGATTGGAACATTAACAGCATTCCAATGGTTGATTTATGATAGTTTCAAGGTAGCATTGGGCTTACCTACTACAGGAGGTCATTAGATTAGATGGTGCTGGGTGAAAAATAGCTGGAAAGGAATTGGGAGATAGCGAGTTGGGGATACGGAGTCGGCGGGATGGATTGGTTTGGGTTCTTTAATGAGATATTAATGAATTAAATGATTTATTTAAAATATTTTCTAACATTCAATTACGGATATCTTGGGTGGAATAGACGTGTAGCTCACGTACTGGTGGCACGCGGCTCTGAAACCAGAACACCTAAGCAGGGGATGTCAAGGAGCTGAAGACTACAATTTTTCTCTACACATCTGTGGTAAGGCAACAGTATTACTTTCATACTTATTCTCTTTCTCGAAGTTTTTCCTCTGATATCAATTGGGGCACACCTTCGTTCACCGACGATTATTATATGAAGGGTGAAATGGAGGAATTTCAGGTAAGTCGACCCAATTACTCAGACTATATGATATAGGGGATTCGAAACAAGGGCTTTTCTAATCCTTGTTATATGTAGAATGGTTTCTATAAAACTCAACAAAAACAACCTCCCCATCGTTGATCGGCTCGGTATTATCCTCCTTCTAAATCAATGTATGTATTGGTTTCGTGGATGGCTGTGTATTATCTTCCTATTCTTGACCCGCGGAAATAGAGTGGTGATCTTGATTCGGTGAGTGAGCAAGAGTTCGGAGATGTGGAATATTCCTATGAATGACTGCTTGGTTATAGACTATAATAATGGTTTGAGTTCTTTTGGATTTTGAAACGCATTAACGGTATTTCCAGGGGGTTTTTTTGACGGACGTCCACGGGTTGCATAATCATTCTTCTTCGTCGAATTCCGCAGGGTTCCGGGCGAGGTTGATATCATAACCGCCATACCGTTCGGGATTGATTCGCTCATGATGAAACATCTTGGTGACTAGATTATAATGCGACGGAAAGGAACATACTTCCACAGTACCCAAGTGTTTTCCTTGATGGTGAGTCCTCGAGACAGAAGGTATATAACTAACTTCCGACTTGTGTGAGAGTCTAAAGTAGAGGCTATCATTTCTCCGATAAAATTCAACGTTCTCTTAAAGACGACGATCTAATTGAACTCTCAGAAGTTAGGTATGTCGAAAGTAATCAATTGGAGATCAAACTCATACCTAGGTGGTTTGTTCATTTCAAACTTGTCATCCGTTTCCTTCCTATTTCATCTTGAATTTCCTGTCAGCCCAATCCAGTTCCCATGCTTCATTCCTTCTTGGAGAGCTGCCATATACTTATGTAGGTATCTAGATAACGTGAAATGGACACCTATGTATTATTGCGCATTAGCATCGATGATTCTTATGTACCTGTATACATATATATATATGGTCATTTATCTGCAGTACGGGAGTTTTTCATACTTCGAGCGTCGATTGCAATACTGCGCAATATTCTGCATGTTCGGCGATGAATCTAAAAGGAAGCGACGTGTGAGGAAAATCGTTATCCTCTTCTTCTCGTAGCATATTTGTCTGGTATGCATAGTCTGCTAAATTGTGTTTCATCTTAGCTTGTTTCTTAGATTTGTCTAGCTGTTGAGATGCGTCATTGAGGGAATTCTCCATTTCAACATTCACGTTGTTCACAAATAAAACAACACTCAATAGAAGATTTCCAGACATATGAGGACAGTTCAGATGATTGAATGGTGTCAAAATGTATACATAGCTTGCGCGGTTGATGATGGAGATCCATTTAGTAGGTCCGACTTTGATGAGATCTGTATGCCTTCACTTCATACTATAATGATAACGGCGCCATCTACAAGTCTATCAAAATGACGTTTCGATTTCTATGGCGTGATATTTGACCTTGGAAGTTATTGAGACTTGTCATCTATCAGTATCGACTAACCAAATGAAGCGTAATCTACCCCGCCAAACCGTTGAAAGTCGGACATATGACAGCACGCCTTAACGTTCGTCGACCTTTTTCATAAACTATACCTATTCAGAGCATTGACTAGTTTGTAGCGCAACTATCTTCCAATGTTTCATCGTTTGGTATACCACTAGATGAAGATTTCTCTCACTGATCAACTCTTAAGTTCCATCTTATGGGGTGATCTCTCCTCAATCGAGTTTACGTTGAAGCTAAAGCTGTCAAAATGTCTAATCAAGTGTCGACGGTTTCAACACTAAGTTTCTATGTGAAATGACACGTATATATAGTTGAAAATTCCCTCAATCTGAAAAGATTCTCTCTCTCTTTTTCCCTAACAATCATCACTCAACTCAGGAAAACAATTTCATTATTGCATATTGGCTTTCCTGCCTCATATCATTATCAACTTTGCGAATTCAGATTCTACATCAACAGTCCATCCACATCATCTCATTCTCATCTTCAACAGCTACAGCATCCAAGACCATCACCATGGTCATATCAACAAGCATCGCAGTTGGACTAGCCAGCGCCGTCGGACAGGCAACTAGCTTTACCCTCTTCATATATTTCAGTCCTCCAAATCTTTTACATAAATATCTATCGATTCTTCTCACTGACGGGGAATTATGTTGGCACCAAGGTCATCAATTTTGTGCTATCTTGTCTTTCTTCTTTACATTCATATTCAGTATGAGTGTCATACCATGTGTGTTGAGAATCAGGGGTGAGAAAGGCGACCGAAGCGAACACGAAAACGCATTGGAGGCGAAGACAAAAGATAAGACAGAAGAGGAACCAATAATGACCAAAATGGAAAGCGAGACGAATGATATCAAAGAAGCGAGATCCTCAAAAATCCAACAATCCTCCGAGGAAGTGAAAGAAACGGACAAATCCTCAAATTATGACGAGCTTGTGGAAATACGTGTGGAACTTGTCAATACCAAAACCGCATTAAAGAAGGAGCAAGAACGAGTAAACCGCATCGAACAAGTTATGGAGTCGCTTCAGGCACAAGTTGATGTCTTGCAAGCCAGATTGACAGTTAAAGATGCAGAAGCTAAGAATGAACGCAAAATGGTAGAGGCGATGGAGGAGGATCGCGAGGGACGAGCTGATCTTTTGGAAACGGGAATGATGACGCTAGAGGCAAAAATTGAGGAAGTTTTAGAGAGGTTAGATGAGAATGATAAGAGTCATGAGGCAATCGGAGAGTGGGTTGAGAAATTCAATAGCGAAGGTGCAAAGACCAAGGGGGAGCTCAAGAGATTCGATCGTGTTGATAAAGAGATCAATGGAGTGTATCGTCATTTGAGAAAGGAAGTCCGTAAAATTCAGGAAACCGCAAAAGGTAATCTCGAGGAGCTTAGGGCAGATGTGCAGGCCGTTGAGAAATATTGGATGGAGGAGTTGCAAAGGATAGATGACAATAGACAAAGTAGAGAGTGGGATCTCAGAGGGGAGATTAAAACTGAAATCAAAAATGATTTGAGAAGAGAACAGGAGATAAAGGAGATTGATGAGTGGTGGGAAAAGAGATGGGGTCCAGGAGGGGTTACCGAGGAACAATTGATAGCATACCATGAAGCTCAAGATAAGAAGGAGGCGGAAGTCTCAAATATAGCTTCTAACGTGGAGCGCTCCTCGCACGCAGACGCCGAGGCTGTAGAGACCAGAGTCGAGCAAAAGATGGTAGAAAATCTGGATGGCGATAAGAAGCAAGAAGCAGATCCATTGGTCGAAAGTGAGACGCCGATTCAAGAGAAAAAATATCCTTCTCACAAGGCTGTTGAACATGCTATGCAACCCTCCCTCGATCAAGAAAGAGATGCGGAAATGAAAGATGTCGATCAAGGGAAAGATGAAGTCATGGAAGATATCACGCATGAACTCGAGGATGGAGCTGAGGTTAAGGAGAAAGGCGATAATTTAGACGAGGAGTGGACTGAGCTTCGATATTAGAAAGGGTTCTGGAAGTTTGTGGAGTCTGGGGGTTTATGGGAGTCATGGGAGTTGAGGGTTATGAGGGCTATGAGTGGTGTGGGGAGTTAAGGGATTTACGGGAACCATGGAAAATTATGGAATTTACGAGAACTATGGAAGTCATAGGAGTTTTAGGAATTATGGAAAATTATAGGAGTTATGGAAAATTATAGGAGTTTTAGGAATCATGAAAGTCATGGAATATACGGGAGATATAAGAATTTCGGGACATTTGGAGTCATGAGTATCATCGATATATACCCAAGGGAATCTCTTATTATGCGTTCTCGATGAACACAATATAATAGACAATTCAAAAGATAAAAAAAGTAATCTTACATATAAAAGATCAACAAAAGATCAAAAAAAGATGAAAATATTATCACCAAAAAAATTAAAATACATTCTAACCACAATATAACCCCTCAAAGTAACTCTACTCGAGTATAAAAGTGAAAATGGAAAGAACAAACAACGAACTGTGAAGAATTTCCCTTCCGCGTAACCTTACTAAGATGAATTTACTTGACGTATCTCACAGGTAGGCAAGTTTTTACTTAGTACAGGCTAAGTATTTATTAAGAGTGAGGAAGGGATACTCTCCAAACCGTCCACAATAAACATCAATATGCATACGATTCAACTCGTATTCTAGCATTCCCTTATAGAATGGCAGTGTAGGCAATAGTATACTATAGTAAAACGGTGGCGCGTATGAAGCTTTTGATACGGTAGCTAGTGCATATTAGACAATTGAAAACTCACTATTGTAGGTATCATTTGAAACGGATATTTACAAAGATATATGGGAAAATTGAAATATAAAACTAAAAATCAAAATTAATCCTAATAAAGTTTAGATAATAAAAAATACTACTCAATTATCAATATTCATATTCAAAGGCAACAAAAAAGATCAAAATATTTGATAATATTGATAATTTAGTATCAATTAATAACAATTATTTAATTGAATATATAATTTAATGTTATTGAAATCTGGGAATAACCTCAAATTCATATATAACTTATTCTGTATTAATCAGAGATTTGTATTTCTGTATTCTATTAGTGGTATTCAATATTATTCTAAGATTGAATATCTTTAGTAGTATTGAATTCCATATCATATACGTATATTTCGGGAAAAAATCGATACGTATTACTATCTAATCTATATATAGATTACGAGAAATGATATTGCCTACACTGTAGAATGGTACTGTCGGATACTAAGTTGGAATGTGTGAGTGGGTCAAGATCTCAGATAAGAAGAAAAAGAGAAGTAAGGAGCGAATATTAGGATTTATGTACGAAGTTGAGACGGCTAGGTAGATATATGAGTTAAGGATTTAATATGGTGAAGTGAAATTATGGAGGTCGTTTCATTGATCTCACAATCATGGAAGATATAAATGATATCATGTGAGTGAACGCATGGTGATGTTGAAGTCTGACTTGGCCATCAACATTTGAGGAGTGGGATTATAGGTGGTATAAAGTAAGGTTTTATGATGGAGTGAATCACATCTTTAAAGAAACGCTGACTACGCTGATTTCATCTTGAGACCATAGTATATGGAGCAAAAAAAGTTGAGATTGTAAGTATAGCTAAGCTATATATCCATTGAAATATCATATCGTCATAACCCATATCCGTTCGTCCATCCATTCCGTTCCCAATTACCGTCCGAAGCTATTTATCTAGCCATTGTATTCTATGCTTTATTGCAGAACACATTCTTTCATTCCAACTCCAAACGCCTTAGATGTCAATTCCATCAACAACAATACCCTTCTTCCATTCATACTCCATAAACTTAGCAATCTCACCAGCAGTCTCTTCATTGACCATAACGCTGACAAGATACAAACTAGCATCAAGTCCACATGTAATGGCTCCAGTGGTGATGACTCGAAGACCACCAAGTCGTAAAGCAGCTCTACGAGCATTACTTTCACGACGATTGTTTGATTCCTTCCAAGCATTGGAGCCCTTACGAGCATTTGATGGACGTCTAGCATCAGACTTGCGACGAACGTATTGACTCTCCTCTGGAGAATCAATATCAAATCGAAGATTATTCACCACATATCTCTCCTCAACAACATCACAACGTTCTGCCAAGTCTCTTTGTGCGGCCTCACTATTGATGTTTTCGAATTTGGCGAAGTAGTCGGGGTGAGTGGTAGCTGAAAGACCGTGAAGGATACCTTGTTGAGCAAGGAAGAGAGAGCCAGTGCAGATGGATAGAAGTGTGCGTTCCTTTTCAGGATGTTTCTTCTGCAAATCAGAGAAAGCTCTGATGAGACCAAGAGGTTCAGCTTTGTTCTTGAGGACTTGATCAGATCCACCACCTGGGACGATGAGGATGTCGTATTGAGAAAGAGTGGCATAAGCATCTTTGTAATTGAAGTGAGCACGGAATGCAGCTCCTTGATTGGAGATGGTAAATTCCTCGGCAGCAACGAACTTGCAATCGAATGCCTTGGATTCTGTAATGAAAGAGTTGAAGGTTAGCAATTGAACAAGCGGTGATGGTCAAAAGTAAAACATGAATAACAAATAAAGAAAGAGTAGTTCACTCGACCTCAAGTATAAGAGTAAATGAATCGAACTCACTTGGATCATTAACATCATGCTGAGCACGGCTAAGGACTTCAAGGGGACCGATAAAATCCAAAGCATCCATGCCAGCATGAAGTGTGAATAACACTTTGATGATAGGAATTTCTGGTGTTGACATGATTGCGACTGAAGAGGTATATCAAAACGATATGATGTTGAATTGTTCAAGTGGTTGAAGTGGTTGATGAAAAGTTGAAGAAGATGATTGACTTGATGAAAGGTTGATCTTCAAATTGAATCGATGATGAGGGGGAAGAAGAGGTTATAAAGTATTGAAAACAAGGTCAGGTCGTACGAGCAAGCAAAAGATCACCATATTCCTCACGTGTTGGATTGAAATGCGGGGTAGCTATGAGGAGGACAATTTACTTTTCCTTTTATGGATTAGTCTCTGGATCGGACAATGCGGGGAATTTACCCCTGTCTCCTTCTCCTTCTCTCTGCCCCTCCTTTTCTTCTTCTCTAGGAACATGTCACACGCGACCATTCCAAGCATTCCGAACCTATGATGATATGTCATTAAGCATTTAAGCATTAACAAAGATCGAGAATCTTTACTCCATTCATACCTCAAAGCAGCCAAAAATGGAGATCAATTGACAGTTACCACCGACTTGAGAATATGACGATGACAGACCCACCCAATCATACCACAATCTGAGATCATTCGATGGTATAATTGGGCAATTGAAACGCGTATTCCATTGGCTTTTTAAGGTTCAAGCTCATGTATAGAGCTATAATAATTCCCTCAATTTATGGATCTTTACTATCGTATCAAAACGCTATGGGCCATCGCGTGTTGGTAGCATCGACCGATTGATGAAATGCTTGGCGAAGTCATGATTGTGTTGGATCATTGGCCAGAATCACTAATAAGGTTGAGTAGTTGTTGCCGATTGAGCTACTCTCTCAATTCATTCGGAGGATCTCCGAGATATCAAGAGTCTTCCCATTTGCATTGAATATGAATAGATGATAACCTCGATATGCCCACGGATTGGAGCATAGAAAACTCACAACTATCCGATGTAACGTCGAGTCATGGGTTCGAAACCAGACATTCACGACGGTATTATGATAGTCAATTCATTGAATACTGAGGTCCCTCCACTCACTTTCCATTTGTGTATCGATTGACGACATGTTCAGTGTCTCTGAAGCTTCATGTCCTGAATGAAGTATGCAGATATCACGCCAGTAACGCATCATGTTTTACTGGAAATTATGCAGAATCATGTGACCCGTTTCTGGCTTTCGTCGACCAAACAGTAACAAGGGCGATGGTTTCCACAAATTCTCACCAATTGCTTGATTAAGATTGAAGCATCCATGGAAAGTCTCCATGGTATGAATTATCTCTGAGCCCTACACCTCAAAGAGTCCAGAACAATGGGAGGCCTCATTGTGTCAATATGAGTTTATGAAGTCATCGACTTGGCTTCTAGGATACATAAGCTCTGGAGAGTTGAGGAAAGAACTTGGGTATGTCGATGGTGGAAGTTATGGTAGGAACTCAAACAAATGATTAATTTAGTTTGATATTGATCTATTTAACGAAGTGTAAGTCTTCAAAAAATGGCATCTCCCCCGTCTTGCTGAAATAGGTAGTTATACACACTCACAGTCTCCAAGACCTCGCTCTCCTGCCTCTCCAGGCACATAACTGTCTCGGCGAATCTCCTTTCCATTTAACTATTCACGGCGAATCGGCCCGTCCCTTAGCCATACTACCATAAAGTCCCAACTTCATTCTCCCTCGCCTCCTCATTTTTACCGAGCAATCATGCAAAGACCAACAACGGGACAGACCCTACTTGTGCATAAATAAAGTCAAGGTGGACAGAACTAAGTGTTCAAGGCAATATTGCTGCCGGAAAGAGAATTCTCAACGGAACCATCGCCTTTGGTTTCATTGAATTGGCTCTATTGAAGTGCTGGTCTGCTGACTAGAGCGATCAAGGACCTGGATTAGTAAAACCGAAGTAGAAGAAGACTGGGCTGAGAAGTCCTTGTAAAATCGTTACTATCTTCGAGAACTGATGTGTAGATTTCTCGCCTTCTGCAGATACATATTCGGGATGTGAAAATTGAGAAGGCTATTTACTCAAGAGAGATTCCAGAATTCCCGTATTCCGTATTGGAAATTTTGATTTTCTTCTAAAAATCACCTTTTGATACCCAATTGTATGACATGAGGTACGTATTGAATATCAAATACATTCATAGATTATCTAATCTAGACAAGAAAAGTTTCATGTATTTTTCTTTTCTTTTTCTTCTGGACCTGGACCATAAAGCTTGAATGCATACCTATATACACTTTGTGCTTGAATCAACGCATCAAAACAATTTACGACACGTGGATCCCTTGAGGAAAATAAACTGCTTTTCACGTACAAACACCCACGGATTTAACGCTAGCAAGCAAAGTGTGTAAACCAGAACTCTCATTATCGAGTACTTCGAAATTTTATCGAAGTCTCTATACCCAAAAATCGGCTTTTATATGCCTACCTCATAGAAAGGAACGAATTCAGAAACCCTCGCTTTCGGTCGAGTAGGTCCTCTAAATACCCCTCGAGATGGAACAGCAAATTTGCCGAGTGAGGTGAATTTAGGAAAGGTGCTAAATGCCTTTCTTCCTCGAATCTTTCTAATATTCTTTTATCCTTACTGGTAAAAAATGACGAATACCCAGGTAATACCCTATGGCCTTTTCATAAGGTGTGGAAATTCGCGGCAGGAATAAATTCCTACGATAGCCCCAGCCATGGTATTGCTTGGTAGAAACCGCCTCTCGGTGACACAAAAAGGTATAGGAGTCGCCAAACAAGAGAGGTTCCGAATAGGTGGGTCGAATCAGAAGCGTCATTATTGGCGGCATTGTCGTTCATCGTTATAAATGGTGGCTAGGGACCGAAGTACACGGCGTTTCTCATTAGTGCACCTTTTATTCAGACCAATTCCATTTCTCCCCTCTCAACATGCTCTTTGATATCCGACCATCTTGCAATCACAACTTCTCCTCTCCCAACATCTTTGACATCATCACCATCTCTTCCTCTTCCCAAAACAGATATGCTACCACCATCACCAGTAAATTCTTCGTAACTTCCCGTACCTCTGGCAAATACCGCTGTATCTTCATCCGGTCCACTTATCATAGAAATACCTCCAGCTTGATCATTCAAATTCTGTAGTGTGCTCGGAAAACTTCCCAGAAAACTCGACAGGTAATGGTTATGTAGTAATTGTTGATGTCTCGTGGCATACGCAATTTCGGTTTCCGATAATCGTGATCGAAGGTCTTCGTTGCTCAGATAGTGTAAAGTATGCGCATCAATCTACAATATACAAGTAAGCAAATGCGCATCCAATTGTGCATGTTGTTGGGCATACCTTTGCGATTCTGGCTCTGACCAATCCTCTGATTAGATACTTCCACCTCTCCAACTCAGTTTGTAAACAAATAAGACCAAAATTGGTCTTCGGATCCATATCTCCAGTTAATTCCTCTACCTTCTCGATTTGCTTTTTGATTCGTTCTGTAACTCGTTCGACAAGATTATTGGGAGGCCATCTATTATCTCAGCAGATGTCAGTCCCGATTGTAATAAGGATATCGTAGGACGCTCGAGGTCGTCGCATGTGGTGAAAAATGGGTTAGAACCAACGGTAGAATTTCTGGAGCTCCACGCTCATTAATCCAAGCTCTTGTTAGAGCTTGTAAGTCCGCCTCGGGTGTATTTGCATTTCTGGGTCGCAATGCGTCCTCGAAAGGATCGTTGAGAAATTCATCGATATCCATTATTGCAGATGATATGAAATTGGGGGATAAAAGGGGGACTCCTTGTATTTGAATATAATAATTGTGAGAAATTTAATTATCCATGGGATGGTTGTAGAATATTTGATATTAATATCAAGCGCCAAGTCGCGGGGTCGGCGCGTTTAAACGCGTTTGATATTATGGGTCTCAAAGGCGACGGATCTTATATCACTTCTGTTGATGAATATCAAGGTTCAATGTTCGATTCATTAACTTGGCTACATGCTAGGTAGTATGAGTATTATGTTTTGCCATCAAGTCATTCAAAGTGTAACATAAAAGGAGCAAGATTGGAAATGAATCTGAATATTTATAACAATTATGGATTTGATAAACACCCGTGGACATCCTCGAGACATCATAGACAAAAAGGTCCAGGCTTTGACTCCAAAAATTGCGGAGCTCAGAAATCCATAATTCATTCGCTTACCTAATCAGACCCAGAAAGATCTCGAGACCCTCAAGAAAATGAAATGGCAAAAAATGAACACATTCTTCCTCCCTTTGCGATACAAAATCCAGTCGAAAAAAATGCAAAAAAATTGGTAGCTTCTCTTTGATTGAGCGTGTCATCCTTAGTGCAGGGGCCATGCTAATCTTCTCTGTATCGTTTCAAATTGACCACTAGTGAAATTGTTAGTTTAGATGTTGATTGCGAGAGAATCGGTAAATACTTACAATGCCCGAAGGCGAAGTAATTTGTAACATTTAAATTTATATAGTACCCCAACTGTCCCAAGATCAGGCTAATAATTTTCTGCAACCACAAAAAAAAGGTTTCCACCACAATAAGCAAAAGATGATAATGAAGTTCATTTCTGCCATCGCACTTTCCACTCGATAAATGTTTCGGAGAACCTCCAAGCATTTTCTCGTCGCAAATGTTATTCCATGCTGTTATTATCGCATTCTGTAAATGACTATATCGGTTTTGTTGGATTCTCGGACAAGTAGTGGTGGGTTTTTGCAACGATTGCGTTTCTATCACATCAACTTCTGCATTCGAGTGATTCAACTTACATACATATGATTGGCAGACTGTTGCCGACATATTTCCCCTTTTCATGAAACCCAATTGCCAGTATAGTCTGTAGGATATGGTATGTTGGTACACGCTTCTCTTCATGCTACAGACTTCTCTGCTTGATCTTGACCAGGGTTTTTTCGCTAAGTCGTTGCCTCCAAATCTCCATTCAACCGTTGAATGGTGACTTGAAGCATTCCAATAGAGACGGCTGATTGACAGCTTAAAAGCCTCGAAACATCATGGTCCTGTGCAAATATAAGTAGGTTCCTAGCTTATCTCTGGAAATAATTTGTGGTCATGTTGGAGGTGGGGTAGTAACCCCGCGTTAGGGCTAGATGTGGGTTTGAAGTAACCGCCTCTAGACCGCATGAGAAATCATGTCTAGCATTTCCAATATCATTTACCCTCTCAATAATCTTCAAGATATATGGTTATTCTTTCCTCGTTGCTTCCCAGGGCTAGTCGTGGTATAGTCCCAATCATAGATGAAGTCTCATCATGGATACAACTTTATTGTTGGAATTACCGCTCAAAGTCTTGGCGAATTGTGGGCAAATAATGAACCCTATACATACATACGTTCTATCATCGATAGGGCTGAATACGCTATCGCCGGCCCTTCATCTTGTTCGTCGTTTAGTTGGACCTCGAACAATATGTGGACCTATTGGCAAAGGTGAGTTGGAATGGTTGATGGTTTATTTGTGATTTCGATCATATCGATGCATTATACAAATTGGATTGGGACGGTGGATTGCTTTTCATTCAACCCAGAGTGGGATATCAACGATGTGACATTTAGTGGAATGAAGAATCGAACGTTTACGTTGGAGTGAATTTGAAGTAATAGTGAGTAATACATTGCTTGGAGTCAGAATATTAGTACTCATCGCTGGGACTCGTTGACACCCCATGACTGTGTTTATATTTATAAATAGTATATTTAGTTCTATTTATTCGATTAATCATACAACCAGGCTTCTTGAATACACCTTATGAAGCTCGAAATTTGTCTACTTAAGCTTCGAGATCCCCTCGAATGTAAAATGTAAAGCAGAAGCAAAAAAGACATTTCTATACATATATATTCTTGAACTGATCATATCTCCCTCGTTGGCATCATTGAAATCTCGAAAAACATCTCTTCTTTCTTGCAATCTAAATCATTCGGTTGTTCATCATGTCAGCACTAACTGAGAATCAACGCAAAAAAGCTCGCCAGACCGTCCAAGCGCGCGGTATATCTGGGCCTCCAGCTACCAATGTTAAAGCCTCAACGACATTGATTGCAGATGGTGGAGATAGTAGTTATACACGACATGTCAACTATCCTACGCCACAGCCTCCTGGTATTCCTGGCACCCCTCACAATGATAGAGGTCAATCATCAACACCCGGTCCCTCTACCATTCATGGCCATCCTAATTTGGCACCTCAAAACCCTTCCAGGTCAGTCCCGAGCAGTCCTCTTCAATCAAACCAGGCTCCTCCTCGATCAGCACGTTCCCAGCACCCGGGTATGAATGCCTCCATGGCCAGGCAATCTAGCGATACTGGTAGGCCCAGAAGCCAGGATCATACTATCTCCACCTAACGCAATTCATCCAGACCTCCCTCGGCTCATTCTAGAGCTTCCTCTGGTGACGCTCCCCCAAATGACACGGCAAGCACCTCCCAACGTGGCTCTAGTGACTCTAGCCGTAGTCGTTCCTCTGCCGTGTCCTCTCGAGATCCTTTTGAATACGATAGCCCCGAGTACAAAGAGCGCCTCGAAAAGAAATGACAATGCACAATTACTAGGTTGGAAGCGAGACTTGGGTGTTTTTTGTTTTGGATAGATAAAGAGGTTCAAGGAAAAGTCTAGGTTTTGGGATATATGGGTGTCATTGGTTCGTTCGTGTGTTTTTTGGGGGATTGAGGGTTTTCTTTTCTTATAAATAATTTTTTCCTAGGAATGGGAGTCAGTTTGGGGGGGTGCAAAGGGGACTATTGTCACGGATCGCATCCAATCGCAGCTGTGATCGCTTACATGCGCACTTGCGCATGTGCACGATTACGTATACATAGCTAGTATATAGGAGCACTCTACAAGCACTTTGCTCCCGATTCTATAGTTATAGATTCTAAGGATAAATTGTACCCTGCTCTTGCAGTTCTTTTAAGGCAAAGTATTATATTATCTATAACTCACTATACGATCGCATGGCCATCTGGTGGCCAATCAAATAATACCTTATAACTATAATATCTTTTTGGGTATATCGAGAATGTTTGATATTATTTATAGAAAGAGAACTGATTCTAAGTAAATCTATTCGATGGAAGATAACAAATCCCTAATATACAAAATTACAAGTACTGTTATTATGTCCAATCCATTTATTTCAAAAGGATTTCATTGCTTTTCCCCTTTTGCTGGTTGAGTATTTCTAATTGATGATAGTTAATTTCAATAAAGCAATAATTACAATCCTTACAATTCTAATATAAATATTGATAGATATGGAAAGGGTAAATAATCTGGAAACAACTTCTCAATTGAGGTATTAATTCTTGAGAGTAGTATATTGATGCATATTTTTTTGTTATAGGAAGAACAAGTACTAATCCTTAAAGATTTTGAGAATTTGCAAAACAAAATTGTAAGACTTAAAAACAAATTGCTATAGTATAGTTTTAGTATCACTTACCTATCTTAACCTTCAAGATACTGATAGCAATATTATACAGATTCCTTGTAAATCGCGGAGTCCGGATTTTTGATATTTCAGTTGATTTTATTAAAAGAGTATTTCCTACTACTGAAAAAAGGAAGAATAAAAAAAACCTTTGTTTGTGAAGTTAGTCTTTACAATAATCCTTTTTGAATATTAATAGTAAATTCTTTTCAAACCTGGTTACTTTGCCAAACGACCCACAAATTCATTAAATATTCTATTTTTGTTTACCTACCACTATAGTAAAGTATTTATATATTTCAAAGCCTATTAATCTTTTATTTAAATTTAAAGATAATATAAAGTTAAAAGCAAGCCTTAGTAGCTATTAATTATCAAGCGATTTGAACTTTATAAAAATTCGTTTATTTTGGAAGCATAATAATGATTTTATATAATAAATTAAATAGAAGGAGAGATACAAGAATACATATTCTTGTTATATATTCAAGTCTCCCATTTGACAGAATAGTAATTAATTAATCAGTTCATAGTTATTTACAAAAATCTGGCTGAAGTCAATTATACATGAACTAAATATAAACACTGAATTATATCTAATAATATTCAATAAGGAAACTTTCTAGTATAATATTACAGATTTAGATTATTAATTATATAAATAGAAATCACCAATCCAACAACTCTCTCCACAATCTGAAAAGAAAAATATCCGATTTCCTTCGATAAGCTATTAGCCTTTATATTAATGAATACTATATTATTAAGAATCTGGTTATTAAGCTTATTAAAATCAATAAACTCGAAGTTATACTTCAAGAATGTAATTATTATAGAATGATTAAAGAAATACCTTTTAGAAAGTTATCTAGTAATACTGATTTGTTAATTATCTTTAGAAGTATTCTCTGTTTATCAAGTAATTCGAATTTATTTATTCAATTTCATATTTAATATCCTTTTTATATTCCTACTAATTATATAAAAACCTTTAAGTCAAATAATATTCTATCTTTAGAAAACAATTTCAATCATAATATTATCATTCCTGTATCAGGAATGAATTACAGTTTTATATTATATATAGATAATATAAATATTATAACCGAGATTTAAGAGATTAAAGAAGACAAAGAGTTTTATAATATAAAAGAGAATATTGAAAAGAATATAAACCAAAAAGTGTAAGCAAAAGCTATCGAATCTGTTTGTACTACTAAAGACCAATATTTAAAATCAATATGCTTAAATAGAAGTTCCCTTTTAAATACAATTCGGGATATAAAATTCCTTGATTTGATAAAATTAATAGAAAGTAATTCTATAAATCTACCATACACATTTTTGAAGAATAAATATTTATATAATATTCAATCTCTTATAAATTCTAAAGTGAATAACTGTCACGGGATCACTTCTGGGAGTATTCAGAAGCTTTACCGCTGAGCTAAACGCCCAAAAGACTAGGAGGTAGAACTGGAAGTTCTACCTTACTCTCACATATATAGCAGGACAGGACAGGACAGAAAGGGCTTAGTGTCACCCCGTGACACCACCCCCCTCCCTAAGGTATGGTCTCCATACCATCACCTACTAGGAGGTTTCAGGATTCTGGATTCTAATGCCTCAGGCATTCAGACAGGCAGACAGGATCTATATATGCTAGCCCCCAAACCAATGAAGGCTTGTAAGCTATAAGTGGGCCCCCCACACAGCTCCACTTATAACCAAGGGTAGTTCTACCTAATGTCACGGGATCACTTCTGGGAGTATTCAGAAGCTTTACCGCTGAGCTAAACGCCCAAAAGACTAGGAGGTAGAACTGGAAGTTCTACCTTACTCTCACATATATAGCAGGACAGGACAGGACAGAAAGGGCTTAGTGTCACCCCGTGACAATAACTTTGCTTTTATTAATAAAATACTTCTTTTATTATTATTCTTTATATTTAAACCCCGCTTTATATTATTCGAATCATTAATTGAAATCAAAAGCTATAATAGTGTATAAAGTGAAGCTATTACTTATTCATATTTTTAATTTCATAATTAATATTCGATAATAGTCTTATTTGCTATTTTTCATTATTGATTTAAATTCACATAATATAATTCTAGATTGCAAATGGTTAGTAGAGATTCGAGTTAAAGTCGATTGTTTTAATCGATATCTCGAATAGCCTTTCGAGTATCCTCCTATTGTTTTTTTATCAAAAAATATACTTTTAATTAGAAACAATCTTTAATAATTCAGAATCAGTTATTTGAGATAAAAAGATATTAATAATCGGAACGCCCGATTGAAAGAGATATATTATCGACTTGATAATGAATAACTGATTATAACACTAATCATACTTGAAATACTTATTATTCCTTTTTAAAAAACTAATATAATAATCTTAGATATGATCGAAATTTAGATTTCAATCAATCTGAAGAAGAAATCTACTTTTAATCAATCTCTATTCAGTCTATTTATGAATCCCTTTTGTTTTATATCTTCAACATATTCGATATCTATATACTCAAGCTAACTCAATTTCAATTTATTTATAAAAGAAGCAAGAATTATGAGATCTTTATAATTATATATATAGAGATTGATAATATTATTTCAATTCACAAATCTAATTAAAACAATAACTATTAAATCTTAACCGCAATTACTGTTTTAAATAGTTTTAAATCAGAAATTATTACTATTTTCAATTATATTATTATAGATATTGAAACAAAACCTTTAATCCCTAAAGCTTATTAGCAATATCATCAAGTATTCTTCAAACACAAATCTGATATCCTATTTTTCTTTTGGTTATACAATTACAAGATTATATTTGAAAAAGAAAATGAAAAAGCTTTCAAATATAATTCCTTATATAAGATATTGCTCAAATAGTTTGAGATTATTAAAGAATATATTATAAAGAATCTTGCTAAAGGATTTATAGAATTCAGTTAAGTATTGTTTATAATACCAATTCTTTTTATAAAAAAGCCAAATAAAAGTTTAAAGTTCTATATAGATTTTTAATTATTCAATTCTTTAATATATAAAGATAGATACCCTCTATCTTTTATTAATGAAATATTTATATGATTTATTGGTGTGAAGGTGTATATCAAATTAGATATTCAATAAATATTCTATTATATCTATATGGATCCAGCTTCCGAAGAATATACTATTTTTCGCATTTAATATAGTTTTTATAAATACAAAGTTTTACCTTTTGAATTAATAAATAGCTCTATAACTTATTAATAATATATAAACAATATTCTATTTGATTATTTAAATAACTTCTATATTACTTATCTCAATAATATTCTTATATATTCTGAAAACAAAAATAAACACAAAAAACACATCAAACATATTCTCAAATAATTTAAATCTATTAATCTTTAGGCAGATTTTAAAAAGTATAAATTCAATATCAAATATACAAAGTATTTAGGTTTTATTATTTCTACAAATAGTGTACAAATCGATTCAGAAAAGATTGAAATAATCACTATTTGGATTTACCCTACTACTATAAAGAGTATCTAATCATTTTTAGATTTTTATAACTTTTATTATTAATTCATTAAGAATTATAATATAATAGCAAAACCTCTTTATAAATTTACAAAAATGAATGTCAAATTCCATTTCAATAAAACCTATCAAATTGCATTTGATATACTCAAAGATAAACTCATCTCCGCTTCTCTCCTACAGTATTACAATTATATATTACCCTATATATTAGAAACCAATATATCCGATAGTATAATCGCTAGTGTACTATCTCAAAAGCATAATAACAAATGATTACCAATTATCTATTTTTCGAAAACAATGATTGTCGCTAAATTGAACTACGAAATTTATGATAAAGAAATACTTACAATTATCAAATCCCTAAATTATTAAAAAGCTGAATTTATTAAATCCCTACACCAAATCAAAATGTATATCAATTATAAAGTACTCGAGTATTTTATATCAATTAAATAACTAAACATTCGATAAATATATTGGGTAGAATTATTTACTAATTATAACTTTATTATTATGTATCGTACTGAAAAGAATAATCTATTTATAGATATGCTTATACACTATATCAATGAATTGAATCAATAAAACAATATTAAGAAGAAGAATTGTTTTCAGTAACTTATAAAAGATAATCAAATGGATATAAAGATTATATATAAATCTTTACAATAAGATCTGGATGTAATTACAAATATCGATATATATATAATCATATTGCTTTTTGATATTATAAATTATATTATTAAAATAAATAGATTTTATTCAAGTTTAGAAACTTTACGTATTTAGATTACCAAATTGTACAAGCATTTTATATTTGAGAAAGGACTTTTGTTTTATAATGATCGATTTTATATATCGGATATCAAAAATCTATAAATCTATTTGATTTGTGAAGTTTATAATTCAATCTTTATTATATACTTTGATATTAAAAAGATCTACATTCTTTTAGCTAATTAATATTATTAGAAGAATATAAATAATACAATTAACCAATATATATAGAATTGCTATAAATACAAATATAGCTTTATATCAAAAAATCACACTCCCAGTTTTCTCTATTTGCTCCCAATCTCTACACAAGTATAACAATATATTACCATAGATTACTACAATTTCAACAAGAATAAATATAGTTATGATAATATATTTGTTATTATTAATCAATTAATCAAATAAGCTATTTCGATACCCTATCATAAATCAATCGATTTGAAAGATCAGGCCTGCTTATACCTATACTATGTATATAGATATTATAATACCCCGGAAATTATAATTTCTGATTATAATTCTCAATTCATATTCAAATTCTGATAAGAATTCAATAATATTTTAGAAATACAAATCAAATTATTTATTACTCACTACCTGCAAATTGATAGTTAAATTGAGATTTATAATTAATATCTCTAATAACATTTATAACCCTTTATAAGCTATTATCAAGATAATTAATCTGAATTCCTATTAATAATAAATTATATTCAACTTACACTTTCCTATAAATTACTAGGTAATTAAACTTTGTACGAGACCTTGTATAACTACCTACCCTGCAATCCCTAGAATTGAAAACCCGACCCCACCGCACTTATTGATAATTTGAATATAATTAATGTTAAAGAATATACTAAATATAATAAATTAGTATTTAATTGAACAAAAGAAAATATCTTGCATATACAAGAAAAAATATCTCGATCAACCAACTCACATCACTGTTTAGTTGATTTCGATATGGGAGATTATGTATAGCTTAGTATGAAGGACTTTTTGATACAATAACTATCCAAAAAACTGAATTACTCTATTCAAAGAAAATTCAAGATTATTGGTTGGACCGGAGATTCCTTTCGATTAGACTTATTATTTACTATAAAAGTCCATCCCATATTTCTATCTAATAAGCTCTGCAAAATAGCAGATAACTTATTTCCTGGATAAATCCTCGAATTATTATTTTTAATAAATATTATCAATAATACCAAATGGAAAGTGGAGTATATTTTAGCTATAAAGAAAGTATACCAATAGCTTAAATATAGAGTATTATAGTTAAATATCAATAACAATCTCATTTAGTATTCCACCTCTAACTTAAAAACTGCCCTGCACTATCTCTATAACTTCCATCTACAAAATCCCACTTTATCAGGATTCCCTGCGCACCTACCGAAATAGATTCGTTTTTACAAAAATGAAAAGAATAATTACGATTTCACAAACAACAATCAATATATAAATGAAAAAGACAGAAAGAATTTCTTTAATTCATTATTATAATAAAGAAAATCCTAATTGCATAAAAGGCTAAAAGCAATCGGACAAAGATGAAATATCAACAAAGAAAGTCTTTTTCTTTGCCCGATAGGTTTAAATCAAGCCAAAAAGAAAGCCCCTACAACCATCAATGGTTACAATCGGGTAAGGCACAACAATAAAAATTAAATAGTTTAAATCGAAATACTAGTCAAATCCCCAGTCAACAATAATGACAAGTATATACAGGATAACCATAAGCTGAAAAACAAGATGACTTTTAATTGCAGCACGTGTAATCATAAGACTAAGCTAATGCTCAATCGTATCTAATTATTTGCAAGCTACTGAAAGCTTTATTTTCATTTAAGTTATAACGAACTAGTACTATTACTCCAATTTGTCTCCCCGTATTACAATCTCTGCCACATAACACTCCACGGCTTCTCGAGCAAGGATAAAAAAAAGCATTTTTTTCGAAACATGACTCTTTAACTCTTTCCGCATATTAAGTTATTTTAAGAGTTAATTTTGTTAAAAGCTAGTTAAATTGTAATTTACTTTTATTATATTATTATACTTAGTAATAGCTAATTAATATTAAAGAAATATCTTATGCATATCCCTATCAGATAAGTACTCACACTTATACTTGCCAGCCAGATAAAGCAGATAGCGAGATTGACTAAACGATTGTTCAGAAAATTGATAGCAGATGCTATCTTTCTTGTTGGAAATATAACTATATATATAGTTAGCACAAATCCAACCGTCCTTCTGAATATATTATTCTCATTATAATATTATCTTTTTTGATAACTTCTTATTTAAAGATTCCTACTTATCAATATCAATAAAACCAATACTTTTGTAATAAAGCATATCGAATTTATAATCAAATTGATTTTGATATAAGGCCTTTAGGATATCTTCCTCAACTATCTCACCATCATTTTCGAGATTACAAAAATGATATACCACTGTAATCAACTTATTAGCAAACTTCTTTTCGTAATTATCAATATAATCAATTAAAGGATTATATTCTTCCTCCAAATTCTATCTCAGAAAACAATAAAACGGATATATCTAATAAGCATATCAAAGATCGACCCTACCCTCAGACATATTGCTTTTGGCATCTGTAATCACACTTATTAAATAAGCCAACCATAAACCGAAAACATTAAAAGAAAGCCTCACTTATATGCATCTTCGTCGTTCAATCCATCTTCCTTATTATCCTTCTCCTTGTCAACAGGATTACTACCACTTCCGCTACAGCTCGACTCCTCCTCTTCCTCAATAAAATACTTATCTTATATAACAAAAAAGGTAGATACTCTCTTTATTACAAGCTGTAAAAAAATATATCAGTAAGCAAACACAAAAAAAAAATAAACAATTCATTACTATATACATATCCTCCTACTGTTTCAATTACACTAACAACAATTTACTCTTACTACTATATTTTCTTAATAATATAGAAGGCATATTGATTATTAATCGAAGGATATAAAGAAAATAAGTGATCAGAAAAGATTTAAAAGAAAAAGAAAAATTCAGATGATCTATATACTTCAAAGGCTTTACACTATTACTAGACTACAAAACAGTTTCCTCCGTTTTCTATACACCTTCTTGTTATAAAAAAAGTAAAATTTGTATATACATTTATTTACCACGTTATACTACAATATAAACAATAATGCTTTATTAGAATCGCTGATATATTTATGAATTAGATAATTATAAAATTTAAAGACAAGCTTTTTCGAAAGGAAAGATAGTATTACAGATCGCATTCAATTACAGCTGCAATCACTTATATACACGCTTATATATATGTATAATCATATATATATAATTAATATATAGGAATACTCTATAAACGCTTTGCTCCCGATTCTGTAATTATAGATTCTAAGGATAAATTGTACCCTGCTCTCGCAGTTCTTCTAAGGCAAAGTGTCACAACTATTTTCTTTGGACCGGAAGTCTTCTTTTTTCACGTTGTTCTTTTTTCGTTGCTTTACTAGGAAATTGGTGGGCTAGTATATAATTCGGGGTTGGTATAAATACTTGCGGGGTAGGAAATCACACAGTTGGAAACAATCGGCGACTATTTGGGCGAGGAAATCTTTTTTGTATGGAGCTCAACTAGTCCTTTATATGAATTCTATAGTTTTGGATCAATCAATGCTTTTACCATGCTAAACCTTATCTCATCAATCAATGCAAAATGATTCATGTAACAGAGTCAGTAGAAATACTCCTAGTAAAGGAAGACAGAGGATGCGAATTGTCTATGAGAAAATGCGGGGTCATGAGGAGTTAGGAGGAAGTAAAGTGCCACAATACGAATATAAGCGGAGGACTTAAGGGGCGTAGCTTTAGCGAGCTATTCGTAAAAGAAAAAACAGGCGGAATTTGATCATCTATGGATTTCTATAGTATCTTTATAAATTGATAATTCCTCTTTAAAATTATGTGAAAAAAACCTTTAAATTTTATTTGAACAATAAGAAATAATTTCTCTCGCGATTTTATTGAATTTATATAATACATTTGTGGTTGATCTTTGATTCAATTAATTCAGAAGATTTCAGTAGATTTAAATCATCATATCGTGCTACATAGGCGAGCCGCGAGCCCATTTTTTCAGCAAGAAAGAGCCGAGAAAGCTGATCAATCATGAATAAATCCTGAAAATAAAAGTAAGCGCTAATTACAAGCGCATCAATATATATAATACAGGGGAGCGCCATCATTTTTTTTCTTTCATACAATCATTAATCCCATTAGCGAAATAGGAAATTCCGGAAAACGTTTTACACCGTAAAAACCAAGCTTTTCAATTTACCAACCTCTAAAACACAATTCGTATTTAAATATATACATTTAATGACAAGCTAAGCAAATCACATAAATTATGGAAGACCCCGCAACAGCACCCTGGAACATTCATATCAGTTCCTCCGACCTCAGCAAACTAAAAGCCGGTTTCGAGGCACCAGATATGGATCACAGATGGGAAAGTACTCCTAAAGATGCTGATGAAAATGGAATCATATATGTCCATACCAGTCGCAGCTGGACTGAAGAAGATCATTTTATACTTGCTGTGAAAGCGAGTGTTGAGGATGGTGCGGAGATTGTGTCTATTACGTGGGATCAAAATGAAGGGAGGTGAGGAGGGAAGAGGAGTATGCGAAGAAGGAAGTGGTGGTTATTTGTAGGATGGTGTTGAATTGCGAGTTTGAGGCGCTGCCGTTTTATGATAGGAAGGTTTTATGGGGTTCGAGGAGGTAGTTTCGAGTCTGGTGGTTGGGGTGGTGCTGCCACTGAGTGAGAATAAGAAGTGGCGAAAAGTTCATAGAATACCTATGACCAACCTGAGGGCATTTGTATTTGTATTTGTTTTTGTTTTTTATACACATAATATGCGGAAATATCGTACGAAACTGAATTCAACAAAATAGAGTTCGTCCAATCATTTGCCCCATTTTTATCCAACATCACACTTTCCAATGGCACGATTTTACATGACTCTCACCATATAAAAGCACTCTCCTTTCCTGAAATTATTGAAATAACGGAAAAGATGGCCAATCGAGTCAACAACATGAGAAGGAGGGGGCTTCTGCTTCTTTGGTCTTACAAGCTTATGATTGAACACGGGAAATGAGGTCGTGGTATTTGACCTATCTTTGGATGGAAAAAAGAAGACGCACTGGAATGAAAACGATAACAATATGTAAGAATTGAAAATAAAATTTGAATCTCTGTAGTTTTGTTCTACTCAGATATCCTGGACCTGTCGGAATATAAAGCAAAGAGAGATAACCAGCCCTCTGGTGAAATTCCGACTCACGCCATATTCTTCGAATTGTTCCTTGGGGATTCCTGTTTATTGCAGCCTAGTAAAAATTGAAGTCCTTTATATACCTTCGCAACGATTTCCTTTACCGACTTCTGGAGTGTGGAAACAATGCTCAGATGGCACTAGTGAATCATGAAGTCATTTACTTGCCTTCAATTCGCATTATCGATCTTACAGACCAATTCTCTGCAAGACCGCGTCTCTTTCCTCTCTCTTTTACGATCTCAACATATAAGCTTTCACCCTTCCTGATTTCTATGTTCTGTACCTAGATAGGCATCTGCCCTTGAAAAGGCTGCAAAGATTGGCGAGAAGAACAGCCTGCGCCGATATCTCAATTTGACTTATTGAGCGACAATTGGTCTAAAGTGGAGTTTAAGATCTTACTGTCACCACTTTATGAGATGGCGCCAGAGATGTTAAGGACGTAGAACTAAAATGACAGTGAAAAGTTATATTGGACAACGGAATAAATCTAAATCTCGAAGCTTAAATCCTTGAATTCACCTAAATTAATCCGATATCACTACATGGTAACCATCTGCCCAACTTCATAAGTTTTTGTTGTGATGGACGTAAAAGCCCTTGATGCTTTAGAACAGGCTGGCAGGATGAACAACTTTTATAGAAAGCGTGTGCAGGCCATGGGTGCATATGGAGAAAGGGCTGACGGTACATTGAATCTGTGTACATTCACCATCTGCCGCCTTCTTCCCAGCGCACCCCTCCCCTTCCAATACCTACATGATTCACCCTCAATCTTCCACAAACAAGCATCATCTTCAGCGAAACACGAACCTCACCCCCCATCTCATACCCTCGTCCAACAGCCCAACACAAATCCAAATTCCTTTTCACGCGATATATAAGCAGCTCTTCCAACCATTTTAGCTCATTAAACCGAACGTTAAAGAACAAAGCCAGAAAACTATAAGGCATGACTTGTAAGTTTGAGACAAACTATTTGCCATTACTCCATTCTCAAGAGAATTGCAAGAATGGGATGGGGAATTTAAATTGGGGCCCAAAGACTATGGTGAAAATGAGATGGAAGTAGAATGATAGCTTGGGTGATCAATATATGACAACAAAAGTAACTATTATACAAGCGTAGAGAAATGATAGCATTATATTGGGTCCCAAATCCCGTCCAGCTCGTGTTCATTCCTCCTTCACGAACAGCTAAACACCCGCAACTGGCTCAGAACTACACGCAACCTTGCCAACAACTATTAGTTGCAGACCTCATAATTTCTCCCCAATCATTGTGCAGTTTGCTGTTTGAAATACAAGGAGTAGGAACATTTATATAACAATTAATAGAAAGTTTGGAAGTGTATCCCGTAGTTTTGGAGAGATTTCCATCAAGCGAGAGTGAATTTATTGGACCAATTTTTTTTTGAAACCACTCCAAATGCTGTATGTGTAATGATTTGCGGACAATAACAGTTTTCTCAATTCGGAGACTAGATTATAATGAGGCATTGTGAAATCTTTCACAAGCTACAACTGTGTTTACCATGTATCCTCCGAGTTTTTTTTGACCAGACTCGACTGAAGATATGACGATAAAAGTAATGATGACAAAAATTATAATTGTTGGTAAGATTGTCAACAAAAGTACACTTCTGTTCGTCTCTCTCGTCCTTTATGATTGTTTCGACCTTACTTTAAACTCCAAATCGTAGTGGACACAGAGTCTCTTGGGCACGGTGACGAAGCTAGAACTTCTTGCACGCCCTTGAGGTTTGCTTTTGCCAGCTATTCAACTTTGCTGAAGTATCACGTCGAAGATGCTGCGCCTTTAAATGTCACAGGGCGGAAATTGTTTGCCGAGTACTAAGACGAACGCAGGAGTTATGAATTGATACTCAGATAGAGTCTTTGATTCACCAACTATTTCTCAACTCTATACAAATACCTGTCGTTCAACGCATTCACCATCTCGTCCCACATTTTCCCTTTTTGTTATTCCTACTTTCTTAATGCTAACAAGCTCTCTTGTAAATTGGCTTTCTGTTCCATCTCCCCTCTCTGCAGCTGATTGAGGAGTACCCAATTGAAAGCGAGATGAGGATAGCATACTGAACCAGCATTCCTACATGATACATCATTAATGCGGGCGAAGCTGGACGTGAATAAGGTACGATATCTTGATCTCCACTTGGCACAGTATTGAACTGAAAAGCACGCAACGAAAGAGGTAAAGAATCAACAGAGAAAGGAGAAGTGGAAAATGGCAGCGAAGGACTGCTTCGGCGAAGGACTTCGAAGATGGTAAAAAACAAATCCGAATCTTCTCTCGAAGTCTGGGAGACCACGAGTATGCACGGAGGCATATTACTCATGAAGGTTTCGTCTACACAACAGAGAAAGCAAGTGTTAAGGATCTTTTCTCGCACGTAATGTTTGGATCAATTATGAAAGCCCTGAGTGACGACTTTTATAACAGAACCCCAATCTCTAGAGTGGGAAGTCAGGAGGATGAAGTAATGAGTCTACTAGCGCACGGTTTTGTTCTAACCTTCGATATTCACTAGATCTCACTTCTCCTCACTAACATTGCTTTGCTCTCCTTTAGTCGTCTTTCCCTATTAATAGCACATCCTCTCCTAGTCTTAACTATTTCTATCTATACGATAACGAGACAAGAGATCACTTATACAGGGAGTGAGATACATGTGGCATTCATCCACGTGAACAATATCTCGTTTCCATATCAAAGCCTTGAACCTGTTCTATCCCCTAAGCCTCCAAGTCTCGATGTCTAAATCACTTGATAATAACACGCCAGAGTGTAAAATTGACGGCAAGTGTGGAATGGATGACAATGATACTCCAAATCAACAATATCCATCACGAATTTCTTCCTTTTCCGTTCACACAACAGAAACAGCTTCTTATTATTTCCTGGCTCGAACTATCTGTATGTTCGAGATTAACAATGGTCTTACCCATGTCGTTGAAAAGAAGTCTCTAACATTTCCGCACAAACTGCCACTTTCATGAGAAGGAGGCTCTTTATATGCGCTCTTCTTCCCCATTCTCTTCCGCTTCCGATTCGACTTTCAGATTCACTACAATCTTTACACTCCGACTACCGCCTTTGTCAGAAGATTTCACCCCTCATAAAGCTCCTTCGCCAATCTGCTAAGTTTTCCAAGTCTCCATCTGCTCATCATAAAGCACGAGGTTTCTCAATCACCAATACGGGTAAGTACCTATCACCAAAACTTCAGTACTCCCAATGAATAGTCTTCTCATTCAGCTCAGAAGTACCTGGTACCCACTCACTTATCCGCATGCTCGTCCTCCATGTTCTCAGGCTATATTCAATAACTGATCACCTAAAATTACCGTCTGGTTTTTGAGCCTCTCGTGTCACCCATCATTATATAAATAGCGTTCTTCCCTTAAAGTTTCTTCTTCATCAGAAAGCCAAAACAATGACAGGAAGAAATATGCGGGGTACAGTACATATTCCAATCCCATTGATATCATCTCTCTCTCTCCGTGTTCACTTTGAAACTGCGTGCTAAATTCGTATATCTATATTTCGCGGGAGATTTACATGAATTAGACGACAGAGAGGGGCGACAGTGATAACAACAATGATGAGGATGATAATATTCATAAATATCTAACAACACTCAGAAATTCGATAAAAGCATACTTAACAACAATTCAAGGGACCTTCCATAGATTCCATAGAAAGAGAGAGCCATGAAACCAGAGCTCAACAGTCGATACAATCTTTCGGAGGACTCTTCAGATTGTGACCATTTATATTACCCATGTCATCTGTCAAGAGGGTAGTTTATATCGCAAAGTAAGAGAAAAAGAGAATGAAAGGGAAGTGAAGAGATAAAGAGAGAGGAGTGGAAGGAGGGGTCGTGAACATTTGAGCACACAAGGGAATCATGCCCCCCTCGCCCCTAACTCTCGCTCTCTTTTCCTCGCAAAACAATCTTCCTCACCATCCTCTCGCTCCTGCTTTTCCCTCACTGTCTCCCCTCACCTCCAGCCACCCACCAGCTTTTCGTAACCATTTATTACAAAAACTCCCTCTACTTCTCCGGATAACCAACGAACAAACTTCCAGACTTCGTGCGCGGATACAAAGGAACATGCCCATCCTAAACCCCCAAGAGCTTAAATCAGAACTTCTCATTTTCATTCATAAATCATTTTTAACCCCTCATTTATAACCCCACCTTTCATTACCACAGCCCATGACATTTGGCAGAAGTTCTAAACACTACAGAAAAGAAAAAAGTGCAAAAGAGAGAGAGCCAATAACAACAGTAATAACAAGAGTCAACAAGTCCGAAATAGCCATAAAACACATTTACTGATGAATTAAGCCATAACAACAAAAATATACCACTTTCAGTCAGAATAACAACAATAGTTTTAGCAATCAATTTTACCCCTCCCGTCAGCACTGACGATACTGGACGCCCGATGTTGCACCGGTATCTGATGCATTGCATATGTTGATTATAGTAGCATATCCACCACTTTGCAGAATTTCTCGCATAATTTTTTCAATAATTGGTTATCAAGGGAGGAGAAGGATACGTCCTCTTGTATTCGACAGAGAGAGAGAATCAGGCCACTTGAACAAACAATGAATAAACCCTTCCCCTCATGAACATTACATTCATAAAACCCATGATGCCGTCACTATAACTGGCGGTGAATATCCACGATGGAAGATCGAACGCATGGCGAACGGGTTGGAAATGATGCAATGTGAAATATAGGCTGGAGAGAGATCTCTGGAGGCAAAATGATTTTCATAGATGAGCTCACCTACCGCCTATCATACAGCAATTAGCTATCGTCATGATAACATCTCATCCCCATCATCAAAATGACAACACAACATTGCCACCCCTCAAGTTCATGTCCATGTCCTCCACCACGATCATCCAGTCGATCTCCCCATCTCCATTCGTATCCTCCATTCTTCATCCTCCACCCACCAACATCCACAAACTCTATCCTTCACTCTCTTACCCACCAGCAATCCACAATCTCCAACCCTTCAAAAATTTCTCGCCATCACGTTCTTTCTCATCAACACATACCGACGCAGCAATGCGGGGTACTTTTGCATTGCATGGCATGACATGACACTTGCCATCTCACAACACCTCCACCCCTAATCCATCCATCTCTTTGCATGATACATCATACATACATGATTCTATTGAAAAGCAGCTGCAAATGCAATCCATCCATCCAACTCTCCAACCATTTGATCTTCCATCCACTTTATATACATTTCCTCACCACCCTACACTTACGATTCATGCCTCCCTAGCCGACCGATAATCCCCCCATGCACGCGTGCCGCGTGCGTCACTAATTGTTCTCCTCTCAAAATATGCAATGCAATGCAGATGCACCATCCATAGTGCATATATACCTGGATACATATCATGATATCCATCGTGGCACTTGCACTTTCTTCTTATCAAAGATCATGAACGGATAAAAAAATCATTCGTCCACGATAGATACGATGAAAATCATTTGAATGTAACGTACGGGATTTACGGAACATCTTGCTACCTAGCTTTCAGAAAGAAAGAAGGAAAGAAAATAATTCAAAATATAACTCTCTCGAGTCAAGATGACAGTATACTATCTTCACGTAAATACTTACTTATCCATGATGATAGGATCATCCTCTGAATTTGATACACACGATGATCATCAAAAGTCACAGATTGATATTCCGAGTCCTTACTTGCCCCTTCCATTTCTTCCGTTACTTACTAGGTACTAGGTAGGTAATTCCAGTTCCATTCAAGCTCGCAGTCAGTTCAATCAATCACGAATTAATTGATTTGTCACTTTATCTTTTCCCGTTTGAAGAAATCAAATATATGAATCCAGGGTCCGATCAGATCATCGTTGTTCCCCCAACGCAAAATTAATCCCATCCCATCTCCACTCCACTACACCTACCCCCCTCAGGTTTCCGCAGCGACGAACGAAACGGCCGGTCAGATCGTGAGTTCCGATTCCACTGGTCCGACTCAGACAAAGAAAGACAAGACAGGAGACACGAGAATACCAGGGAAAAGAAGAAAAAACGGGAGAGCTTGTTTCAAGGTTGGGCGACGAGGCTCTCGAGCTCAACTTATCTCATGAGTATCAAACCAAAAAAAGAAGATTTAGGAAAATCTTCAAGTCGAGTCAACTTGCCAAAAAAAAAGAAGAGTCTATAGAGTCTAGAGACTGCTTGTAAAACAAAGGGTCCTTTCATGTATCGTTTAAAACACACTCTAGACCTAGGCGAAATGAAACAGATACACAGAAGACACACTTCAGAAGTTGATTGATACTAGGTATGTATATAATCGCTGGTTTCCCCAGAGACTGGGTTAAGGGGGGACGTGAATGTGGAAAGTCAAATTTCCAATATATTGAAATTGGGTTCGTTCGTTCGTGTCGTTGGTGGTCGGTCGGTGTGTTCAGTGTGCTAAGTAAGTAAGTCGCAAGTAAAGTAAGTCAAGTCTGTCAGGTCTGGTGAGTACAGTTATGCCATAGTTCCATAGTTCTTGGGCTTATTGAAAGCTTTGGGCATTGGCATATGCCTTTCTAACCCTATTGTCTTGTATCCTATCCTAATCCTGTCCTATGCTATCATACTAGATGTCCAACCGGTATTCCATCACCGACGACCAGACCCAGAGTGTCGATCCAAGTTTCGTCAATGTGTCCAGAAAGAATATTCATTTCCGATGAGGATGGATAACTTCAAGGTACCGACTCCTTCGTGATTGTGCTTGTACACAAGAAGAAAGTTGTACAAGTTTCATCATAAGTATTTTCCGAATATCGCAGATTGATATGAATTGTCATAAAAAAATGCAAGCCGCCATGACAGATTATGTATATATATATGTAACATACTCCATAGCGATGTCCATCCCTCAGCAAACTAACAAAATTTTCCACGCAAGTATATATTAACATCATACGCCTAGGAAAAACCATCACGAACCATCATGAGCCATTTGTCACCACTTCGGTCATATATCCACTCGAGATAGTAAATCTACGTAGTAATTCGTAAAAGATCTTCAAGTTCCAAACCCCAGACTCTGATGGATCTGACCATTGCACATCTCTCGGCAAGAATAGGAAAAAAAGAAGCTCAAGAAAGAAAAATCTTTCTCTACCACAGCAACGGTTTAGAAAGTTAAAACAAACTCCACTTGCACCGAGCGGAGCGAAAGCTTGCTATCCTATCCTGTCCTATCCATCCATCGTTCGCCGGAGGAGTGGAATCCGTACTGTGGATATTGATATCCATCCAACCATCCAACCATCCACCCATCTCCATCTATCCGCTTCACTTCAGCACCAACTTAGAGTAGTAAAAGCATAAGAAATCAGGGTCCCCATCCAAAACAAAATCCCCAATTTATTTTAGAATGTCCATTCTACCCGAACCCCCCCCACAATCCAGCAAGCGAAACACCCGTAGTACATACCGAGAAACACGATGAAAAACAAAATTCACTAGAAGAAATAATGATGATAATAATTAAAAAGAGTGGAACTCCACCTTTTTCTTCCTTTTCCTATGGGTTTTTCTAGAACCATTTGCATTAATTAATGATCTGAGCTTTCTTACCTACCTAGGTATCTATATCTCTAGTCTCTCTCTTTTTGGGGGGGGGGGGGGAGGGGGCCGGCGGAGCGGGGCATGGCTCATTCATACTAAATCTTTCTTGACACAAGCTTGAAGCTATAGCTAGGTAGCTATAGCTATGACTTAGCTTAGCTTACGTCTTCGTAGATGCCGCGCAGAGATCAAAATACCGGGCCGGAAGTGTGCAGATTGTAGATTGTAGGTTGTAGATTGTAGATTCCAGATTCGAGATGGATGCATGCAGAAGCATAAAGGGACCAATACATATACATTTACATACACATACACGTATACATGATACATATCACAATACACATCACACTCCTCCTCATCCATCTCCAACTTCAGCACTTCACAAACCCCGAATAAATAGAAGAATAATCCGCACTAGCAAGACTCAGGCGAGGAGGGGAAATACGTCGTACTAAAAGATGGTGGGTAGGCTGTAGCTAGCTAGCCAACTAGCTCGGGTGGAACGGATATCTCCCAAGCTTTACTTCGCCGCGGGCTTATTCCATATTCTCCTCTCCTCTCTCCACTGACTCCTGAGGCTCTGACGAGCGAATTGCAATTATAGTATAGATGCGGGCCGGCTGGCTGATGGGCTAATTGGCTGTGCCGTGCTGTGCTTTGTTTTCCACATCTTGCGGCTGTGCACGATACATCTAGATTCTACACGATACATTAAATGCATCACGTAGATGCGAGGAAGGATTCTGTTTCCCCGAAGCTTCGATGTCTAGGTAGGTATCTATACACATAAATTCATACTAGATGCTAACACCAAAACGTACAATTTGACCTGATTTACCCAAGTATCTAGAAAATACATACACACATTTAAATACATACATAAATACATACATACCACTACAAAGCAAGCAAGCAAGCAAGTAATTAAAAAAATCTTCTCCAAATACCCAGATCTAGATACCAACCTCCCTCCATCCCTCCATCCCTTCGTACGTCCATGTAAGTAATACCTGCAGAAGCGAACCGAACATACCTACAGTACTTCCAAGACCTGCATACATAAAGAACGAAAACACGGATATAGTATCAGAAAAGTACAAGAAAAAAGAGGATATATAATAAATACCGAACGGATCGTCGGGATGAATTTGACTTTCTATTTCCTGTTTCTATTTCCGATTGTTCTTTCGGCTCTGGATAGTAGGTAGGTATTGGGTATTGTGAAATCTTCCGGTGTGAATATTGATATGTAGATATCTACCTAGTATTTTTTGGATTCTCAAGCGGATGGCAAGTTAGATTTTTGAGCGGATGGGGAAAGGTTTTTGTTTATATAGGTATATAAATTGATTGATATAGATATAAAAAACTATACACATACATACATTACAATTCTCTTTCTTTCAAACTCATAACATAAACATATTTATTATTATTTGGTTCTCTTTCGAGATATTCATCACCACGATACGAATTGAAATTCTGTCTGCTCATAAACGAAGGAATCATTTGACTCCCATCCTATCTACCTTCTGCTCGATCCTCTCTCAAGAGAAGCTTACCTGGTATGCTTAACATATTAATACCTACCAAGATATATCTCGTGATATCCATCTCAAAAACAAGCACAGAAAATCAAAAAATCATAATCATAAATTCCATACTATCGATAACTCTCCTCTAGGTTTCATTTCATTTCTCCCTACTATCCCATCTCGCAAGTAATCATCCATCTCTCTATGTACCTAGTTTACCGTATCTATCTATCTAACACTCAATACCCATCTATTTATCCCTCCATCCCTCCATCCCTCCATCCATCCACCCACCCATCATCACCCAGTGAAGATCAAACCCAAACCCAACCCCAACCCCAAACCCAGACGTATTCCCTTCCTTCTATCGTCTGATACATCCGAATCCAAATAGAACAAAATCCCAAGTAAACTCTCTCCCATCTAAGTTTCTAAAAATGGTACCTACCTAGCATCCCATTCCATTCCATTACGATTGCGTAAAAAACAAACCAGACGCCCCATTTATTTCGCTCAACGAGGAAAAAGAAGTGCTTGTGAAATACCTACCTACCTAAGTAGGCTGGAAGGTATGAAACCGTCCGACCAGTCTGTGCGTTGCTCTCACGCAAAAATGTAAAGCATGTCATACCTACTAGGTAGTATCATGTGATTCATATCATACCAGGTTATCTAAATTATCTCTATCGATCTACGAGTATTCATCTATCTGTATACACTACAAACTACAATAACTTTCGAGTTCTATTTCTATAGATAGATACTTCCTCCATACTCTATCAGAAGATAGATGTATAAAAAAGCTCTAGCAAGCCCTACCTACCTATCTAACCACCCATCTACCTAGCAAAAATTCAATTCCCCTCCATCTCATCTCATCATCTCACCCACCTTCCCAGCTGAGAAACACACAGCCCACCATTCCCAGCCATCTTCTTTTTTCCCATTTGCGGGATCTCTCTGGAAGCAGGATGATTACCTAGTACATATATATTCATTCCCATATCCATTGAGGATTTAAACATAACTCCCCGGTCGCATTGATGTTGCGGGGTTAGAGTGGGAGATTCATATGTATTGTACGGAGTAGAAGGAAGAGAAAAACTTCCAGAATGATCGAATGATTGAATAAATGATTGAATGAATGAAAAGAATTATGCTCTCTTGGGTTTAAACATATCAATCCATCACTCATCACTCAGCTCACACATCCCAAGCATAAAACTCGGGATATATCATACATGCAAGCCTCCGAAACCACGGGCGTGAAAGGTATCTATCTCTATCTTACTCTGTATATCCACTTGGCTGCGCTGCATTGCATAAGAGAGAACGCGAAGAATCACCAGTTACAACAGAGCAAGCACATAGCAACCAGAGTTTGTTTATTGATAAGAGAGATAGATACCCCAAAAGACATACCTAGTTAGATAAATAGATAACTAGATAGATAGAGGGGTCAAAAAACACTCACAAACAAAAGATCTTCAAATCCCTCGAGATTCCAATCTTCGACTCGTAATACCATACGGTATTCCAGCATTCAAATTTCCAATTCCCATCATGAGGAAAGGAATACGATGCGGGTATCGTAGACATCCATAGATAGGGAATCCCAAATTAAGACAAAAAAGACCCAAGCTTTATTATTACTAGGTAATTCAATACACATCTCCGAAGATCTGCAATCTCTGCGCACACCGCAAAGCTCGTGACGTCGTTTCAATTTGGCGAGAAGTGGATTCCCATTTTGTTTATTTTCCTTGTTCACTGACACGTCTTCCGAGGGAAATTTTTCTTTCGTGCATTTGGCTTGGATATGTATTATAGTACATATTACATATTACATATTACTTACCTACACACGCACGAAAAGATGCAAAAGAACGAAATCCACAATTGATGAATAAAAGAATAAAAGAATAAAATGGACTCATGTAAAGAAGGCGGCAACTTGCATAGCTGCCATATCATTCATTGTACTCCTCACGTACCATCCCGTTCCCTTGCCGTATCCGACACAGGAAAGATCTAATCTATGGCCGGCCTTCTATCGTGTAGCCGCCGCGAGTCCAAACCCCGGCTGACATATCGCATCATGTTGAGGACTGTGATTGGCAGATGAGGAAGAGTGTCTCTCAGCTCGCGTTGATATCCTTGCCGTGTTTATTTTTGATAACTGATCGATGATGATTGCTCTATCAGATATGAGACCACACGTTGAATCAAAGATAGAGCAAAAAATATATAAGCTCTGTGTTGTCAAAGTTCTCATCTCCTTTTGTTTAGGAATCCCCTCACAGAAATTCAATGTTTGGACAAAACATAACCGTCGCTTCCAGAAGATTGAGACGGATACTTTACGAGAATTTGCCAATGACATCAATTGCTTGCCCGGGAATCGAAATTTGGAGTGAGAATCGAAGAAGTAAAATATTAAAGATGGAGATAATTTGATACAAGGTTCCTATTCTCGGAGCGTTTAGAACAAAATCTTGATCCCTTGAAAATCTGGCCTGCTTTCAAGGTTCTTGTTCCGTTTCTAAAAAGCATACGGTACCATACAGTGTACATAATAGACAAGGGGGAGGGGGGGCAATATTCAATTGGTATGTAGCAAGGCTCGAGAGTTCAATGTGGAGAATACAAACAAAACGAGCAAACTTGACAAGGCTATCAAAACGTTGAACTGGCCAGATCCAGACTTTGTTTCGAATGAGGAATTCATTCTCGTGACATTGACGAGTCAATTGCTGTGAATGGTGGATATATATACACATATATACCTTATAGATGTAGATGATTTTCCTTCTTAGCCCTGAAAGTAGTTGACCGAGTAGCCTTATTGAGTTCCAAGTTGAATTATCCTTGGTTCCTCCGTTGATATTAATCAACGATGTAGCCCGGTCGCTCTATGACCTTCTTCTGAAAAGTTGAGATCCTCTTTTCTTCAAGAAAAGGAGACAAGTCTGAAGCAAAAGGATCTCGATGAACTTAACCCGCGGTGGAGTCAGCAATGTCAGTACTCCTCACCATTGAGGAGACTAGAAGGGATCATTAGTTTATTCGTCGACTTACGACATTTTCTTACCCGTTGATAATCACCCAAATTGCCAGGCTGAGCTGAAATTCGTCTCCTGAGACTTTTAGTTGGTCCGCGGGAGCGAATTTCGGCGTCGGTCGGCCAGGCTACCAATCTCGTGAGATGATAATCAGCCAAGCCTCCCCTAGATATCCTCGGGGGAAATGGGCTGAATTGGCAAGGCTATGAACATGGTGATACGAGCCATTGGGTTAATAATCGTAATGAAATTTGTATCTGTAACTTGTTAGTACGGCATATCCGATAAGAATGATTTCTCCAATCAGTCCCCTCGTCCATCTTCATCATGGTTGACCTGGACACCCACACCGCTGCTCAACTCGTCCCCTCATGTTCCTAAATGAGAATCCTTCGGTTGAGAAGTCAATATATCATCATACGGAAAGTCATAGCTGACCTTCCAGCGACGACGACGATTGATGATAAAAATACAATTGACACTTGGCTAACTACCCCGGGCGGCTACATTAGAGGCCACATGGAGAACATAATTTTATGATTCTGCCTTGTAGAGTCCGAGAGCAGAAACAAATAATGACGATGGAACAAAATTGTGGATGATTTTATGCGTTGTCAACTCTAATAGGTCGGCCTCTGGTGAGACCTCAATTTGAAGGATTGTGTCCGCGCTTGATGGTCGAATGGGATGTATAACCTTATGCTTATATTGCTGGATAATGGAGACATATGTAATTGCTATCCATAAAACCTTGACACAATTTCAGATAGACAATAATGTCGCACAAATTCTGCCTATGATACCAAAAGTGTAGGCGCTCGGGATACCAGGCATCTGGGTTTCTCGCTTTCGTCAGGGGTACCGATCAGTATCGTGCTTGCTCTACGGAGTCTTGAACATGGAAGCTATTTTCACCCCATTGATTGTATCGAGTAGTCTTTGGCTTTGTGTAGATATCGCCTAGTAGACATAGAGACAACTGGCTCTTTCGAGATATCGGGAACAAAAGACCACATGCAGGTGACCCTCTGATGATAAGGCTAAATGATTTGAAAGTTGTTTGTAATTGAGGGGAGACGCGTTTTGGTAAATATTTACTTTCACGCTTTGTTTTCGCGCCCACTATTGTGATGTATAAACGCACTCTGGATATGTACGAAAGAACAAAAGAATGATTGAACGAATGAAATTGTGTAAAGCGAGAATCTGAGCACGATGTATAAACACCAAAGCGGGAAGATATTCAGGTTGACCAATACCAAAGATAGAAAGCAGCTAGGATAGATAACGTGATGCAATGGAAAGCTACGAGATACATCTGCTAGGTCGGTACTAGGGAATCAATGCATGAAACTTAAGACGCAAAAGCTTAAATTTCATAAACCTTGTGCATGCCCTGTGCATTTTGCTACACTTTCCAAGGTTTGCATCTAGAATTTACTTGATCGGCAATAGTTGTTTTGCTTGCATATTTGACTGATCAATTCATTGTTCAGATGATATTCAAGATATGAATGAATGAATGAATGAATGAATGCCTTTGATCTGATTTTGAATCTTGATATCGATATTGATGGAAGTGTCTCAATGGATATACCTAGGTCGATGGGATAACAAAACCTGTGTCTATCGAGATAGTATCCTCTTCCCCATCAATATCAGAATGTCATGTTCATAATTCCGGATAACGAATGGGCAGAATCAGTGATATCAGCCAGTGATAAGAACGAGAATTGGTATCAGAACCCAGCATCTGTGAGTTATAACACTTGCAGATATTATACATCTTTTGATATACCATCATTTTTGCTTCTTCATCTCACATCCACCATGGTAATCCCTTGATTGCTCTCCCAAGCCAATATACTTACCGGTGTTGAATATGATCTATATCATCTCATCAATTATACTTCTATCAAAACCATCTCGATGCACTTCTAACGACATCATCAATCTAAATGTTACATATCTGATTCATAACCTTCTTTGTACACTTGATCCATATGAAATACCCAGCTGCATATCACTCAAGGTCACCTGCAGAGCATAAACCAACCCATGCACCATATTGATGTCTATTTCTCACTCAGCAACCGTACGGACGGAGTGTATTTGCTGAACCAATCCATCATGCTTGATACTCTCCGCTCCTTCGCCGCACGACAACAGCCCACCCATCGAGCCATCCACCTCTGGAGTCCTAACTCATTGTCCTCTGGTGCTGTTCGCTTTTGTTTCTTTCTGCGAACTAGGTAAGGATTCGTAGAACCGATGGATTCATGGATCCCCATCAAAAGCAAGGTACCAAGTAAGTTGGCGTAGACCCATCAGCAAGGCTAGAAGCTGACTAGGTGAGTAGCCATGTTTTAGTTGGTTGCTGTGGTTGATGGCTGGCCTAGCTCTAAGAAGTAACAATTAAATATTCCGCTTCCCTTCCATCATGTACGAGTTCCAACCCTTTACTGCCCAGTTCGCGAGCAGATCCCCGCAGCCAGGAGACAAAGCTACATCCAGGTTGGCATTAACCAGATTCGTAATACTGTAGATTTTTGGCTTCCGTGGGGCATGTCCATAGCAGGAAAGAGGTCCATTCTATCGTGCGATTCGTTAGAGAGCGGTTTGACCTGGATACTTTTGAACCCACCAAAGCTCCTACTAGGTACCTTGAACCTTTTTACCCACTTCCCTAGCACTTCACTACCACCCACGCTTCATGTGAGGATCACGATACTGGAAATAATTAGAGGGTTAAGGTTAGGATTAGGATAGTAAAGTTAGCAGGGCCAGCATCGCAGGCAGAGCACGTATAGCACGTATCGGTAATGAATAGAAGAGAAGCCAATCAAGAGAGGGTAAAAAGTAGCAGGTCTAGTATGATTGTGGTTATAGTTTGTCTATAATAAGAGAAGAAAATATAGTGAGAGGGGATGAGAGACAGCAAAGTATCAAACAGACCCAGGCATTTAGACATTGTACGCACCTTTCTTGGTATCCCCTCACCTCGTCTCGTCTAACTAGCTACCTAGCAGCTACCTCGGAAACGAAATATATTCATTTTTTTTTAATCTCCCTGACAACACCAGAGCGACAGGACCATCCAAGGAATATAATTGTAATGAGAAAATGAACTCCACTGGCGACACCAATTGATACCACTAAATCCCGATTTTTCTTGTTTGCTTGGATAAACCCTTAGTTAATTCGAATTCATTTATCTTCAACCAATTCGCACTTCTCAATTCCTCTTTTTCTCTTACTATCACGACTACTAACCCTTTTAACTTTCGACCGTCGACCCTTCCCTTCCCTTCCCTTCCCTTCCCTTTGGTCCCCTTAGGTTCGTCTTCTTCAACTGGACGCCACCAACCCAAAGATCCCTTGCGATAATTCCGTCGTGGTATTAAACATACCAAGGGAGCAAGAAAATTAGAAAAGGTCAACTTCCCCCACACCAGCCTTTCTTTTATATGTGAGATATATCATCGACCAGGGCCGACCATCCTTCGAACCTACCATTAGACCTTTTCTTCCGACGAATTGATCTCTCGACCTGAATCACGACCCGATCCTCGAGTAATAATCCGGTTTAAGCCACCAAATTCAATCATCGACCGAAAAGTACATACCAAAAGGCAATACAATCAACCCGATAGGTTTCGATGCACCAAGCATTCCAGTAATTCCCATCGGACAACCTTTCAATCTCTACAGCTCCTCGTGAACCAGCAGCATTCTACCATTGTTCGCAGTTTGTATAGCAACGACATCTGGGAATATCCTCCCCATTTGATTGTTTGCCGTCAACCTGATCTCGGAACACTCTACATCTATACTACAATTTATAATCGCGTCAGCGGATCTTCCCTGCAGTGGACTTCAGTTGAATCAATTCAATTGATAGTATAATTTAGAGTAGCCAATTCACCTCTTGAGCTCACATCCCGTTCACTATGGAGTCTTCACCCATAGCTGCAATGCAGCCTTCTTCATTTATGCCAGCTTGGGCTAGAAATGACATGTATGCCTCTCACCCACACGCACATATGTCAAACGTCACTGCAAATTCTTTCGGTCCAGGTGCTTTCGACTTTCGGGATTTGAGCATGAAGCATTCTGCAAAAGCGGATTACTTCTTGGTTAAACCTGTTCGTGGTTCTTCACCTACAGCAAGCTTGGCGGCAGATCTATCTCAAAATTTTCACATTGACATGAGGTACATTAAATTCAAACTATCTTCATTGTGTGTATGCTTTACTAACATCAATCATTTACAGTCCCCAATTACCAACTCCTCGTCGATCTCTCTTCACATCGAATCTTTTTGGGACATTGGATGGTAGGGGTAAGAGTTGATCTACAGGAAGATATGACTGGAGATGTTAACAAGATATAGATTGTGCTACTACTCCTCCTTTACCTTCCTCCTCACCAGGTCCATTGAACGAAAGAATGGATATATCCCCTCTTCCACATAAGCAACCATATTTCTCTGCGCAAATTGAGATGGCTTCACCTACACCAGCAGGTACACCAGTGGAAGATACAGCTATGGGGTCATCTCCAATTCGTTCTAGTCTATTGGACGCCCCAAAACCTTTTGGTGCTGAGTAAGTGCAAATTATACATTCCAAAGATTATCGTACTAATACAAGCTATAGGAGACGCAAAAATGGATTATTACGACCATCCCTCTCACGTACCAAGGGTTTCTCGACGAATTCCCTTCCTCGACAAAACGCCGAAAGTCAATTGCCTCCCTTCCGCTTCGGTGCTGGAAGCAGCAAGTTGTCTACCTCTACATCAATGTCTTTGGGCGAATGTTTCATGGAATCACCACCACGAGAACGTCCTGAACGTCCTTCGGGTGGAATCATGGCACCACCACCTCGATTGAGCAGACCATTCTCAAGTGTGTCAAGCAGAGTCGTCAATGGATCACCAATTGGCAGCCACTCCCGCAGAACTTCCAATCCGTTAGTTCGGCCTAGGAAACAATTTCGACGATCCCTCAGCATGTTTGAAAGTCCACAAGATATTGTCAAAGAAAAGGGGAATACGTCGAGCAACTTGGAGACCGTCATGGATGTTGATGAAATACACCAACCAATCTTACCACACTTTTTCCAAGAAGGTCAACCTGATAGCATTCCTAGAATTGCCAAGGAGACTTTATTGGAAATTCTTGATGGAAAATACGATGATGAATATGACCAACGAATGATTGTTGACTGCAGATTCGAATATGAATACGAAGGTGGACATATCGATGGTGCTGTCAACTATAATGACAAAGAATTATTGACCAGTCAATTGTTTGAAGAAAATATCCCTGGCAAAACCCTCCTAATCTTTCATTGCGAATACTCCGCACATCGAGCACCCATAATGGCTCGTCACGTACGACAACAAGATCGTACTACTAACGTCGAACAATACCCAAAACTTTCTTACCCTGAAGTGTATATCCTGGATGGTGGTTACAGTGCTTTCTTTACAGAACATCAAGGCCGTTGCTTTCCCCAGAATTACGTTGAAATGGATGCTAAGGAACATGCTTACACATGTGAGCGGGAAATGGGAAGACTTCGACAAAATAGAACCAAGCTCAGCAGAGCACACACTTATGCCATTGGCCAACACGGACAAATTGATGATAGCCCTACTGCACCCAGTCGATCAAAATCGAGTGGCAGTATGTTAACGACAGAAATGACGAGTTCCCCTATGATGAGCTCTCCTATATTTTACGACCGAGGTACCCCACGAAGACAAGTCTCATACTAAATAATACCTTTGCATCTGATTTGGCGTTTAGCATGGCATTGCATTCTTTCACTCGGAGTTTTTTTGGTATTTACAAGTTCGGAACAGAATCCGACACTCATTACAACAGGTCGTCTAGATACCCTGACCTGTTTTCTTTTTCTACAATTACTCACCGATTTTCTAATTTCTCGGTTGAGTCTTCCTTCAGTCGTCCGTTTTCATCTTCGAAAGGTTTTACGGAAAGTTTTTCTATATCAAACAAATTTGCTCTGGCGTATTGGCGTGCATCTAAAGAGTTCCTGTGTCTTGCTTGTCACACACACTCTCTCATTGTCTAGGTTCTACCCTAAACAATGCATTCGACATACTTTTTGAGTTATCAGCGAGTCCTTTTTTAATATCGATCATCGAGTCGATTCAGCGAAAAACAAACCTTTCTTGGATCAGGAATCCCGGACCACAACATTCTTTACACGAACCTTTTTTTATTACCATGAGAACGACCCATAAATGGCCGAAACACGATGACGTTATCAAATTTCCTTTTTGCAAAGAAGCAAACTTCTAGTCTTGACATCGACTAAAGAATGTTTCAATACTCTCTACATCAACTCAAAGTTTTCTAACTCTGGAATTTTTCCAAATCGTACATACAACACACACATGCACATGCACCTCAATTCTATGGATTCGAAACATTCGATTTGCTTTCAATTCCTTCGACTATTTTCACCATAGACCGATATTCACTAAAACTCCTTTAATATTTCCCATCAATCAACAAATCGTTTGCGTCTGGATCTTGAGCTTTACTCCTTTTTAATGATACGTTTGACAGTTACATGTGCATCCGCAAAGTTAAGCTTGTTTGCTTTTTCTCGTTGCTTTTAAAAAGAAATACAGATGGATTGTTAAGAGATAATGATTGACGTTAGGGGCTGTCAGAATATAGGGTGTGAAATAAATGGATGATCAGGGGATGAAAAAACTGATACCTTTTTCTCGTAATACAGTTGATGGGTTGGAAGATGATATAGTAGCTGGGCTTTCTGCTGCCTTTGTTGGGGTGAAAGAAACTTACTTTTATTTGTTTAACTGTATGAGTGTTTGGAGTACTAGGAATAGGGAGAAGGAAAACGAGGTGGAGAGCCGTATTTGCAACCCTAAATGGGTGTAGAGTTCTGTCACACGCTGATGAGACTGCTACTTTCTACTTACTTACTGCTTTACTTATACCTCACGAGTATTCTTGAAAAAAGGAACCGTGTTGAGAGACGATACTTAAGATATGAAATGAAAAAAACAAGTTAAAAATTTATATCATGGGGTTTTTGATTGAGTGCTTGTGATGTATAGAAGGTTGATGCCATCAAGTGGCTAGATATTTGTACTTGGATCACTTGTTTTTGGAATTCATTGACGGTAGGTACGGTACGCTAAATAGGTAATATCTTTGCTTTTACTTGGGTGTCCTTGATCATTCATCTTTTTCTTGTGTATACCTATACATACCTAGGTATCTATCTATGTATATATATATTTACTCACTCACAGAGATGAATTCATCTACCTACGTACTGGTCCTTCATTTTCGATTCCTAGTGTCTCTCTTCCTATGTGCATCTGGTTGTATTCACTTGTGTCGTTGGGTCATCCCCTCCTTTCATCGTACTCGTAGATTTGATGATAATTTATATTTCATTTTTATCTCATGGTGGGTATAAAAGCTACCGAGTTTTTGATGTTGATGCGGCACAATGCCCCAAAGTTTGGTCAGAGATGAGTCCTGCAAGACCTCTGTCTTTGAGAAATCTTCAATTGGAGTTCTGTTGGGTTTTCATTCGTTGGATCTATTTGGCAGCGTGGCGGGAGTGCGTCGCGTGTATTTGTCGTTTGGATTTTATTATTGTTGTTTCTTCATTCCTTTTTCTTCATTCCTTTTGATTGGTGATTTGATATTTCAAAATTTGCTGGCGTTGATCAATCGTCACTTCCAATCTTTCCCGCCACGTTTATTTAGTCTTGCCTCGAGACTTTGGTCTTGATATCTGAAGAGTGTTATCAATCAATTGCGAATGAGATGATCATATCTTCACTCTCTTAAAATCGCGACGTGGTCAGAAACCCTCCCGTCAACTTCAAAGTCTAGCGTAGATCTGTCGAGCCCCTTTGAGAGATTGGAGGGAGGCTTTTATATCCGAATTGGAAGTCAAGTTTGGAGGAATTACTTGGGGATGAAAGTAAGAAAGTACGGTGATGATTCACTTTTTCGTCTTTGAGGGGTCTTGATTAGGAGTTGGTGTATCTCATACAAGTTCATGATTCCCTATTCATCGATCTCTGGTGTAACCTCTACTTTTGAGACCGGAGCAGAGTTTATGAGGGGAGGGATATATAAATATGTATCTTTTCACCTCTTTGGAATATACAAAAGATTAATAGGATACAGGGAGAATTCAAGGCCGACTGCAACAGCAGATGCATATGTTATATCTCCTATAGCTAGCATCGATATTTTTCTAGTTGAAGAATCAATAAGCCAAGATTGTGGAAGGGGATGAAGTAAAGAGAGAGAGAAGTTGACGGTACCTGAGTATTTACTGTCACTACTCCAATATTCAAAGTTGTCATTGATTTTATCTACTGCCATTCTATACTGTAAGTTACTGAAGTTGTTGCATCTGGATTACTCTACTTGTAGTGTATGATTTGCGAGAGTTCTTGATTGTAAAAGTCGTGCCATCTATGATTTGGGTTTTGATGTATGCTCGAAGTCTCCTCAGCTCGCACACCTCTTCACGGGTTGCATTTATTTACCGCTCAATTCTGGCAGGTCTAGTGTATATATACTACTAGATGAGATAGTCACGCATCTCAAAGTCGGGAAATAGAAAGCGGGGAGGAGAGGGGGGTCTGGGATGGGGGCAAGGTTCAGGTGATATGTGAATCATGCCATGAAAAGTCAAAGTTTGCGTATGTATTCACTCATCGCTCTTCCTTGCCAGCATTCTCCTCGTTTGTCTGCTTATAAGGTGCCTCCTTGTCTTCTATCTCACTTCTTGCACCCAGTAAATACCATCATCATCTTCAATGTCTTTAACGAGACGGTTAATTTTTGTGATTATTACACCAAACTTGAGTCAGAAAATTTGAAGCCCGAAATCCAAAACCCTGTTTCTTTTAGATTGTGATATAAATAGTCCTAGTTAAGAAAGTTGTATGTGTCATGTTATGGGTTTGCATGCAGTTAATGCTCATATCTTCGAGTACCAGGAGATGTAATAATTGAAACGAGTATGTTTTGAACACAAACTAGACTTGAGTCGTAGTAATGTGACGTTGATAGTGTGAGGAATGGATTTCGGTATTCTTAGGAGTGAGGGTCAAGGGGGAAAAAGAGAAGAGGAGGCTGTCTGTTTATATCAAGCTGTTGATGTTGTTGTTGTTTAATCCATATAACTGCTTGTATTCATACCGCTTGAAGATTTTTTGGGTGAGATTGTAGCTCACACTTATTAACATGCAGCATCCAGCCTTTTGCCCCTGCTACAAAGAACAATTTTATCAGTTACTTTGTAAATCTGTTTTCCGGTAGCTGTGCTGATTATCTTATTCGCAGGTAGTGGGTGGATAGTGTTTATATAGCAGAAAAGGTTTCCAAGTAGGTGATTTATTCACTCACTTATTACATTCCCTCAACTGCTTCCGTTTTCAGTGTACGCATGATGTTATCATGTGATTACAAGCTCCGTTCAATGGTTATATAAACGTTTGCTCGAACAAGATTTCATAGAGCCAAGATTTCCGAAGGATACTATTACAATGGGCCAGGCGGTTTCTTTGACTTTGTTGATAGATTCTCGATATGAGTTGTATTAGGTTAGGTGTTTTGTATTTGTAGAATAATGGATAGATAAATTAGTAACTATACTGGTAGAAACTTATTATTGTTGTCGTTTCCAAAGGTTGAGAAGATGGGATTTCTGAGATAATAACAGCTAGTAATTGTTGTTGTCATTCGACTTTGTATTATTAATCTCCGAACTTTCAGACGAGCTCCAGCTCCGCCAACAACTCAAGAGTCGAAATGTCAGGAAGTATTTCCGTCTCTAGCACTATTCTGGGCTAATTATAATAATCATGGTAACTTTCCTACAATGAGCCATTATACTTAAGCTTTGGTGCTTTGTAATCTGGTTAAGCTGTGACAGACTAGGAAGAGAGGACTGTTTATACAACTTGAAAACAAAAAAGCAAAGTGGACTTAGAGGATGAAATCAAATCCGGAGAATCTAGTAGTGAATGTGAGATCCAGAAAAGATGTTAACGTGATTTATTGATTCAAGATCATCAGACACTCGTTCACTTACTTCTTCCTTGCTTTTTAGTTTCCCGCCTTGCAAACTTTGCTGGAGGCTTATTTAAGGGCTCCGCCGAGAGGCTCCCTAGAGCACAAACTGAATCCATGCCGTCAGAACTAGACGTTACATACCGACAAAGTTACTGTAGACGAGTTCATGTAAATTTATTCATTTTGGATATATGATATAATATTGGAAGTTCTGATCTGAAATCTTGGTGTGATGTAGGAGGAGCAGTGTTGCTTGATTCGCCCATTCGGCTTCAGATGATCGAACTCAGCGAATTGTCATTTCGTGTATAAGACTAATACACTAACGATGTAGTTCTGATAATGTTGTACCTCGCTAAAGATGTCAACGAAAAAGAGTAAAAGTAAAATCAACATGATCGCGCAACTAAAGCAGGCGCAGTGCAAACCAAACTGCAATCTCTAACCATGTATCTCGTTTGAGCCAGTCGAAGATGGAAGAGTTTTTTCTTAATACCAATATCTTAAAAGTTTTTTCAGCAAAGTGTGCCCCCAGTAATTTCTACTAACAACAAATTCTCTGTCACCCAACGCTTTCTATCACACTTTTTCCTACCTTTGATATTTCCAAGTTTTTCTCCCACACCCAAATATATTTTCAACGGCCCTCTTCTAGCTGATACCTTCCTAAATTCTGCATTCGGATCTGATAGGTCAGGTATACTCTCATTCCCCATGCAGACCATATTCTAATGTTGAATGGGTACAGAGTTCTGACATCACCTCATCATAATCTTTTAATTCCATCAGTATTGAGACAACAGTCATGTTCATATCTACAAATGCGACATCTCTGTCTCGAGCCTTCTTTAAGTTCCGCGCGCTAATTCTTTAGCCTGGAGTGCGTGAAATTCTGGTCTGTTTCTGCGTCACACTCAACATGAACTATATTTGAGGAACCAAAGTCAGAAGTCTTTGAGGAAGAATTGATAGCTTGCGCTTTTACGGTACAGGAGCAGTACATTTCGCGTGAAGCTGATATTGCTCCGCAAACAAAATGGGACCATTTAAATGCAACTCTAAGAGAATCGTGCGCTAGAAAACTTACTCCCTCTTCAGAGGATGGAAAAAATGTTGTTGAGGTCTTAGAATTGTGTACAGGTTCGTCTGTGCACAAAGGAATAAGACGGTATTTGAGCATGGCTGCCTTATTCTTTGCGCCTCAGAGCTGTGTCTTAGATTTAAACAAAGAGAAGAGGCATACAACCATCAATTTGATGTTTCAGATTATTTGGTGGAGTGGTTGAAATCAACAGGAATTTATCTGTTGGGATGGGGAAAGGAAAGGATACAGATTGGGCAGAAGTTCTCACTTAATGGGAGTAGTCTTCTATCCATCATGAGAGCTCTGAAATCTAACCAATAAATGAGGAAATCAATAACTTCAAAGATTTTGGAGGCGCATGCACGCTGTGAGTATTTTACTTCGCTAACGGCTTCATGAAACCACGATTGTTATGTTCAAAGAGAAGCTTTAGCATACAAGAAGCAACCATACTGACCTGTCCTCATCAATTGTACCCCTTCATCAACAGCATCCGTAAAACTCACATCACCTATACCACCCAAGTATCCACAACATCATTACTCAACAACTCGCACTTCCCATCAAATCAAATCAAGAAATCAAACCATCATCATGTAAGTACCACTTGTTAAAGATCAAGTCTCACCACACTAAAATACACACAGGTGTGAGAGGACCACAGCTAAAAAGGTCATCAAGCGATTTGATGGAGCTGTCCAAATCGAAACCTTCAGCAAGTATGTGGATTGTCAGAGAAAACATTGCGCAAGCTCTGGTTCTTACAATTCTTCGCCACCGGTGGGTAGCATCAAGAACGGCAACGGGAACACGGATGTAGAGAAAAAATAGGAATGTTCTCTCAGGTTGTGCTACGACTTTTCCTGTTCTGCTGAATCTCCTTCTGGGCACGGGTGCGTGGGAGATTTGGTTTGGAGATATGAGCGCAGCTGTGGATTGATGGGTTGGACGCCGAGGTTGAGATCTTTGGAGGCGAAGGAGGAATATGGAATGGTTTCGGAGAACACCGACACAGACAAATACCAAGTCTAGGTTCTGGAACACTTGCCCTGATTGAATTTTGAGGGTGCCGTGGTAGTGGGGGACTCACGTTCGATTAAAGCGTAACATTATTCATTGAAATGGAACTCAGCATTTCTTGCTATGAAGAACTTCTTCTAAACATGAGATGATAATATCCTGTATATCATGATCTATAAACCGCTCCTTTTTGACCTTTAATGAGATCATACCAAGTCCCACAGGTAATGTTCTCCGCTCGGAGAATCTGTAGCAAAAGAATACATGCCTTGAACACACTGCACAGTAAAGAATTCAAAAATATCACCCACGAGATGTGAAAGTGAAAAACATGGCTCATTGAATATCATCTATCTGTTCGTTGTCAAAATCATAATAATACACACAAAAGTACAAATGCCATCCCTGCCTGACTCCTGACTCCTTAATCTATCTTTTCAACGATATAATCTAATGCCATAACCGAACTAGAAACTCCAACTCCTCATAGATCAAGTGGATATCTCTTTCTGATCTGTCCTCCATACTTGTAGATCAAACCTGTTGCGGGAATCATCGCTACAGCTATGAACCCCAGCATAGTGTTTCCCCATCCCAGTCCCAATTTTGCATAAATGCTTGGCGCAGCTAACGGCAATAGAGCGCCGAAAAGACTCCTACTAGCCGTCATAGCTGCTGTCGCACTAGCTGCAAAAAGAGGGAAGCTATCAATAATATATGTCTGGATAGGGATGAAAACCCCCATCATGCCGAATCCGAAGGGAATCAATCCGATAACTGGTATGATCCAGTGGGCGTGTTTTTCGGCTGACCATCCATACCAGAAAAATGTGATGGGAATGAATAATGAAAAGAAGAGACAGGCCGGTAAACGCATTTCCGGCTCGAAAATACCGTTATTTGCCGCGGTCATACGTATCACTGTCTTGTCGGAGATTTTCGTCACGAGAGCTAGACCCGAGAAGAATCCAATGCCAATACCAATATAAGCAAGGCCACAGAGTCCCACACTCCATCCGTATTGCTCTTGGAATACTGGGGTGATTGTAGTGAACAACAGGTATAGTAAGCTGTATGCAAAACAGATGTATATCGAAAGTATGAAAACGATTGGTGACATGAATAACATCTTGAGTGGTCGAAGAAGGCCATTGAGAAGAACTGTTCTGGTACTAGGATCACCTCCTAAATCATAGCAAGATAATAAATCTGGACGATTAAGCTCTAGCCGAAGCTTTTGCGTTTTTCTTCGTATTAAAACAGGAGGATAAGTTTCGCGATTGAATATTTCAATGCCAATTGTTGTTACTGTGCCAGCACAGAATATAGCCCAGAAAATCCAATGCCAGCCAACTCTTTCTGCTATGAAGCCACCGCAGATGGGTCCTACTACTGGTCCAAACAAAGGACCAATGGTGTACGCTGCTGAAGCCGCTCCACGTTGCTCGCGTCGAAAAAGGTCAGCTATCACACCACCACCGAGCGCCAAACAACCGGAACCACCAATACCCGCAAAGAAACGAAATATTATGAGTGCGGTGAGGTTAGGAGCAAGAGCGCAACCAATTTGAAATAGACAAAAGACGATATTGGATGCACATAGTACAGGCCGTCTTCCATAAATCTCTGATAATGGTGATAAGAACAGAGGTCCGAAGACAATGCCTAAAAGAAAGACCGTAACAGTAAATGTGCTTAGTGTTTCATTATGATTGTTGAATGTCTCTTCGATGTAAGGCACACCAGGAGCGACCATAGAAGATGCTAGAGGACTGACAACAGTGATGCTTGATATTAGTCCGAGAAGAAGCCATTTTCGGCTTGGAGGAAAGTTTTGAGGGTTATTTGGGTCGTCCTGGCCATCCCAACCAACAATGCCTGCATATAAATCGGTTTCTGGTGCCAGTGCATCACTGGGTTTAGTATGTGCGGGAACATCGTTTAATTTAACATCCGTCTATATTCAGTTAGTCTTGGAGCAAACCGGGAGTCAGAATACATGCTTTTGGATAATTAACAAGAGCTATGTCTGAGAGATTTGATGAATCTTCAAACTTGTGGCTGCTAACATGACTCTTATGAGTGCTTCCAGTAGGAACTCTTTCTACAGAGTACGTATGTGATGTATTTGAACCATATAGTGTTTCCTCGGATCCAGCCACTCGCGTGTGTCCTCGCTCTTGAGCTTCCAACATCTGTATCGATTGAACGTGACTTTTTATGTACCTACAATCGAAACAATGATGTGCTCAGTCGGTCGCAATATCTTTGATAAACTTAAAAGAATGCCTGGAGATGATGGGGTTTGGTGGTGCGAATCATAGGTAGGAGGGATTCGCGCAAATGTCCTTCTCACTTTCAGTATTTGATCAAAACTCTGTTTCTATGCATTCTGCTCTACTCTTGGTGTCGCTGGAGTGAAATGAATGATAAAAAGTAAGTGAGTCTCGAAGTAGAATGAATGTATTTGGGAGGAAATCAAGAATACGACGAGAAAGAAATTATCTGAAAACCGTTGCAAATTACTGGACATGCAAAAAAAAGGTCAATGAAAATCCCATCGGGCAGCTATTTACACAACATCTCAAACATATGTTGTCCTTGACATCATTGTCCAACCTTCGGATCCGAATATACCCGGACAGAAAATTATGGCTTACGTTCACAGCTGCCAGTAACCTACTGTAATCATTGTATGATAAATCAATCAATGAATATAAGCCGGATCCGACGAATTATTTTGATTTGGAATATAATATCACGGTACTCTCACAAAGACGATTTGATTCACTGTCGCACTCGCAATAGTCCAACAGATCAATGCGAAGATAGAATTAAGAGAGCGATGCTTTGCAAGAAGCATTGCTATCTCTAGCTAAGCAACTCGGAACCTTGCAGGTTACATTGCCAGCCAACAGCAAAACAATATCGAAACCATGCTGTCCTTGCCACTGAAACCTTGCAGCAGGCAGGATTTCAACATATTTGAACAAGAGGGTTGGAGCAGATATATTCCAAGTGGGCTTCACTGTTAATAAGGTTGTCGAGAAGCCTTTCTTGACGAAACCGAGTTCACTGTATCCAACACTGAAACCCTTTCTCGATGCTATCGGAGGCACGTTGTATAGTCCAGTATCTCAGGAACACGCATATATTTCAAATAGGCTGATATGGTCATCGAGAAGCCCTCTTGATGGTACGAGGGTCCATTGTATCCAACATCGAAAGCCTTGCGTGCACCATGTTCACCTGGAAGGCTACCTCATCATGTGGCAAGAGCAGAAGAACGACTGGTGAAGACGAAAAGTTACAAAAATCTGCCTATGGTCGCACCGGGGTCAGAACGCATTGAGCATCGCAGTGTTGCAGTAGCGCAAGGCTGAGTAATACGTGGGGGCTAGTACCATTTCAGCGGACCCCGAAAGTGACCCCATATCCCATACCAATACCCACTCCCTCTCCCATAAACCCTGTGTATCAAACCAACCACACCATAGCCTCCAATTGATTGATTGATTGTTCACTGCAAAGCCACTTCACTTCATTCATATGGTGCATCATTCACCATATATAAATCATCATCAATTGTGCCATCCAAATATAATATGTGAATAAGTATATCAAGGTTTCGGTATTCAACATTGCTACAGTGCATTACCAGATACTTATATTAACTTGCTTACCTGCACCCCTCCCTCCCCACCACAGTGCTATCACCCACTATACATCATTCGTGATTACAACCTTTACATTCGTCCAAATCTTGCTAAGAGTCTGTCACAATGGCCAAAAAATCGAAGAACTCCATTCCGAACCCACCACGAAGTATTTCTGACGACTCCAACAACGACGATGGAGCTCCCGTTTACACACCACCCGAAACTGAGTCTAATGATAGTCTATCGACCTCAGCTCATCTTCCGGACCCAAACCATCTCCACGATGTAATTATAGGACTTCAAAATGTCAATCTTGCGCAAGATAAAGCTGATCAGCTGGAGCAAGAGGTAGACAAGGATATCTCTACGAATAAAAAGAAGCAGGGTAGAGGTCGAAATCGTTCTTCAAGCAAGAAATCAGTTTCCGCAGATGTCGTGGTCAGCAATGTCACCGGTTCCCTCCAGAACCTTGCAGTTTCCGACAAAGATCTAAACAATTTGGAGTCAGAGAAGATCAACCTGAAAGCTGCAAAGAACAGAAGGAGGAAGGAGAGGAAGAAGAGACGCAAGGCTCGACTAGCTGAGGAGGAAGAGCAAACCCGGGGTGAAATATCCAACTACAAATGGTTCAAAGACGCGGGATGGAACGACATGAAAGATTTCATGATAGGTCATGGATTTAAATGGGGTGATGTTGACGATTATGCTGCGGCAAGTGAGTTGATCAAGAGACTCAAAGAGGATCAAGGTTCCGAGGAACATGCCGAACCAGAGCCACCAAAGAAAGAAGTAATCAAGGATGCTTCTGTCAAGGCAAAGATTGCAAAGACCAAGAAGAAGACTGTAGTCGGCTTGTGGAAAGATTACTTTGGAAATGAAACTGAGCTTGCAAATTGGCAAAGACTTTGCGTCGATGTTGGCTTGGAAGAGATACCTACAAGTATTACTCAGTGTCGCAAGGTAAATAATACATATTCTTCCATGGTCTCGTTATGATGCTAATATCTATATTTCTATAGGCTCTAGGAAAAGTCTGGGTTAACATCTTCGATTTCCTCGACGCCAAAGCTGAAGGTAAACCAGTTAAGAGATACCCGAGCGAACATAAACTTGCTAAATATACACTGGACACTGGCAAAATTTACCCAAAGAGTAAAGCTAAGGAAGGCGGTCCCGTTAGAGTTCTATTGGCGCACATTTTCAGACACTAGGAACAGATTTAATGAGGTTCTTGAGGCGTCATTTTCTGACATGTTACGCAAGGATGATTTTATGAGCAAACGGATGACATATTTGGGAATTTGACTTTATGGTTGGGATATCAGGATTTGGGATAGTATGGATGTTCAGCATGATTATAGCGTATTGGCATGGGATTTGTATCGCGTTCATCAGATTGTGTTTGGGCGGGACAGTAATAGCCTGGAGTGTGGATAGCTGCATATACAACGCATATACAAGCATTTTTGCACATTCTTCTGATGTTCTCGTTTGTTTTTACCTTTTCTACTTTGACATCTCTTTTCTTTTTCTCTTTCTCCCTTGTTCTGAATGCTCTCTATTATTTCCTTCTCTTCGTGAAACTTTCTACCTGCACCCTTCCACTCTTTTCTCATTCTGCATTGCTGCATCATTACATACTCTAACTCCCGGCGTCAACTTGTTTGCACTCCTATCAAGGATACAATCATGCACAAAGATACAACCAAAAATTCCCAACCATCCTATTCATCCCAAATTCTATGCTTTGAATTTCTCACCACCCTAACATAAATATCCAGCAATCAACACCCACCTTAACTCATCAATCCTCATCCCTCCCCACACCAAAACAACCTCTCTCCCCTATTCACGCGTGCGCTCGCATCATACCAGCTCCCCCCGAACCTCCCCGGGAACCCCAAAATGCCACCCCGTCGCCCCAATATCGCCGGGGACTTTGATAAATATTTCGGAAACGTAAGCGATCTACGAAATTGGCAGCAATTGTGCGCGGATGTGAGAATTCCTAGAGCGTGGAATTTGGGGAGTATTAATGCTTGTAGAAAGGTGGGTCTGAGGAGTGTTGATCTCGTGGTTTGGGAAGAGGAGAGATGGGTTGGGATTGGGATGTTGCGGTCTGGAGACTGGAGATTGGAGACTCGTGGTTCTTTTATGATGATTATCACTCCCTATATATCTTACTTCTTCATTTTTCATCCACGCATCCTCGTCATCTATCTTGCCTCTCGCATTTCCCGTTACTAATACACATATCTATCCCTTCTAGGCGCTCTCCAAAGTCCACGTCAATATCTGTCAACTGTTGGACTCCTATCAGACTGGTGTTCCCGTGCGCCTTTCTCAACTAGGGATGAGCTTCTTGCGTATACGATCAAGAAACATAAGTTTTATCCATTGAGTGAGGCGAAGAAAGGGGGGCCGGTTAGGGGATTGCTTTTCAAGAGGGGATAGAGGGGGGATGCAGGTATGGGATGAAGATGAGAGGAGAGGAGAGATTATTGGGAAGAGTTGGGATGAAATGCATGAAATGGATAACAGAGGGCAATTGAAAGATTTGTGGATGGTTGAAGAACTTACTTGTGTGAACTCCAGACCTTGAAAAGGTAGGATAATGACTGACCTCAACGTTGGAAAAAACTGAATCAAGCTCGACTTACATAGTTTTGCGAATTTTTCACTCTTAACTCAAGAGAACGGGGGGTTTTTAATATGTCAAATCCGACACTATAATCATTCATTACATCTATACCACTAACTTCTAATTTCCCACAACCTGATCTTTCCAGCTTCATTACCAACCGCCAAAACATCACTTCCACTACCAAATGCCACGGACGAAATTCTTCCTAATGGTGTATTCGATGTTGGCCAGTTCTTATATACTGTACAACTAGGTAGATGTACCAATCTCAAGGCATCTTTCTTCCACCTACTACTGAAAACCAACAATTGTCCATCGGGACTAATTTGCAAATGACTTGTAGGTGTAGTTAATTGCAAAAGTCGTCTATTTGGCTCAGGTCTCTCGGGTATGTTTATGTCGTTTCCTGAGATGAAATTCTTGCGATCGTAAATATTTACCACACCACTTTGAGATCCAATCACTACCCAACGATCTCCACCGAGTTGTTTAGGTCCATTTGGTCCACCGAGTGTGAGGACAGTAGCACCAATGGAACCATCATCATTCCAACGAGCGACAAAAGATCCAGTTTCCATACTCCATTCTCCTACTTCCCCACCCTTTCCCACAACAGTCAATCCTTCTCCAGTTTTCCACCAAGCGAAATCAGCAACTCCATTTTTGCCTTCAATTCTTGCTGATGCTATCCATTGTGTTGTATTTGCATCAAGAATATTTATGAGACCGCCTCCCTTCTTCGATGAACCAATCAGTCCCATATATCGGCCACAAGGACTGAGCTTGAATCTTTCCATAGTCTTTTGATCATCCTTATGACCATAAATTCGCGTAACCTTGTTGATCTCTCCAGAAGGAAGATCCCAGATGTGGAAAAAACGGCGTCGACCAGCGAAAATGATTTTGTCTCCGGAAGGGTGAAGGAATGCGGATGTAGCAATGGGTGTTTTCCTAACGTGAACGCTAGTCAGTTGTGGATGTGGATGTGGATGAGCTGTAGGCGCATATTGGTGTAGATATAGAGTTGATGCTGGACCTGAAGAAAGTATGACTGGGTATTCTGGATGGAAGGAAAGAGAAGTGACGGCTGATGGTTGAGTTTTGGGTATATCCCTCGTTCTTTGAATATCGAGAACTTCTGGTCTGAGTTTCGGTCTTTTTGAGGTTGCGGGTGCTTCTTTTGTGAGAGCTCCGGCATCTTGAAGAAGTCTTGCGAGAGGTAATGTAGAAAGGTCGGAATCATCAACGTCCATATCATTCGAAGACAATGAAGAGTCGGAGGCTGCAGATGACCTGCGACGTCGTTTTGTCGGTCTAGAAGATTGCGCCCACTCTGGAACAGGATTGAGACGCTCAAATTGCATTCGTAGTCGCCGTGTGTACTCTCTTCCACTAACTACATCTTCTCCTTCATTGACTCTAAGTTTTCGTAATCGAGAATTTCCAGCCAGAGATACATTCAATCGATCATCGTCACTATCTTCCCAAGCTAGCGCATCTCCTCCTTCTTCGTCTTCAGGTTGTGGACGTGGTATTAATGCATCTTGAGGCACTGTTGATGGTCCGGAGTCTAGAAAAAATAGCTATAGAAAAAGTTAGTGATTAACATCTATATTTGGGCGGCGGAGTTATACATCTGCATCGTCAACTCCCTCAATTTCAATGTCCTCTTGTTCTTCATCTTGACCTTTTTCTTCTTCTTCATCTGCCGATTCGAAATCCATATCTTGACCCAATTGAGCCGTGAATCCTGCACCATCTCCCAAAACAAGTCTGTCTAACTCTTCTTCATCGGAATCCTTATCCATCATGTCAACACTCTCATTGTCACTGGCACTCTCCTCATTTTCTTGAAGAATTGTTCGCGCATCTTTTTTTGGTTTTGCGCTACCATTGGCAGACTTTTTTGATCGTAAGGGAGGCATTGTGGGTGATTGTATAGTTTTATTTCACGTATATTCCGTTTTCTCATCAACTTTTTTTTGTCTGATAGAGAATAAATTTGCAGGGATATTGTACAGGGATTAAAAACAGTATGGGAAACGTGACTACTTCTAGTATTTCATTGGGTGTGCATCTAAGAACGCGCCTTTGGTCACACGTTGCGTGCAAGGTGTGTTTTTGGTAAGAAAAGCGGACATTTTATCACGATTGCACTCTCCATATGAATAACTACAAGTACACCACTTGAAATACATGCTCTTTTCAATATTGATATCAAATCGAACAATCAAGATTTTCAACTGAAATGTCGTAAAAAATCCTTGGAGCTTTTCGACGATCATTTGTTTGGGAGAACATTAGTTCTCTTTTTCACCAGTTATGTATATGAACCATCCGCTATATTCGCACTTTGTAGATGTTATGCTTCATTTCCTATAAATCTGAATCCCCTATTTAAGCCTTCTTGCTCGATATTTGTTTTATTCTCTTCTGTTTTTGTAACAACAAAATAGTCTTTAATCTATCACCATGAGCACCACACGAGACATAGCGAGTGCCTGTATCGTTGGTAGTTTGTGCAGGATTATATATATTTTCATAAGATATCAATGAACACAGAGACGGCGAATGTGAGAACGGAAATATAGTGGTATTTCTGCTCGACGTCAACCAGGGACGATCACCTGTTCTAATTTCAGTCCCATGAGGGCATTCTAGATGATAATGGACATACAGATGAAAAGATTGGTCTAGGATGGCGTAGTAGAAGTCTATGGAAGTAAGTTGGGCTTGAAAACAATGCGGTACTGGAGCACAACCCCTTGGCAAGGGGAGACTATAAGATTGAGAGCTCTTCAATCCTGGATGAAGTGCGCATTATCTAATATCGTGACGAGCTTCTGTAGCCAATTTCAGAAGCTATCTTTGGTCTGGAAGGAAAGCTAGCCATGTAAGTGGTTTTCAGGCTTGATCCAGTGGTCTTTTTCTAAATGAACTTCTAATATTGATCGATTGAATGACCGATTTAAGAATATGAAAAGAGCTACTTCAGCAATTCCCAATTTCCTCGTGATTGATTCATTTTTGTCCTTGAACATTCTCCCAGCTATTTTCTTCAACACTAGCACAAGCCTTGCGATATTCAAATGACAAACAAATAGATTAATCAAGCTCTCCTGAATAACAACACGATAAGTTCGCTTCAATTTAGCACTATTCGACGAAGTCTTTGTTCGCCCTCCGGATCCGTCATTCAGAATCATCTTAACCATAACATGAAAGGAGAAAGTTCTTGTCGCTTGTTCACCCACAGCCGTCCTTTATCCCCTTTGAACGTCGAAATATTTTAATCCATTGTACAGCAAGCTCCAAAACCCATCTCGAGTTCCCATCTCTAATTTTTTCCTGTTGGAACCTTGACATCCAGGAAACTTCACAGAGATTTTCATTGTGATCTCATGAAACTCTAACCATATCCATATTCAAAGCCAATATACACTTACATACTTCGATCCTCTAGCAGCCATGGCCGGCATTTTGACTAGCGAAGAAAGGGCCGAACGAGCCGCAGCTCGACAATATCTCGAGCGACCATGGCGCAACCTCGACTTCTGCGTCTACCGCTTCGTTCCCCCAACCGATAAACGTGGACTTCCCTACCCAGAAATAACAATAAATGGTCAAGCCCGAGGACTCGCTGCCGATAAAGTCTGGGTCGGAGATTTCGCTCCTCGTTGGGGAGAATTTCTTCTCGATCTAGGCGAACCAGTTTATGATATACAAAATCATCAACCCTTAGTAACACGACTCGAAGGATTCGGACTCGATCAAGGACGTGTCAAATATAGAAATCTACAACAATTACCCTTTCCCTGGGGAATCGATGGCTCGCTGCCCGTACAAATATGGGCCAATGAACAATTTCGGGATAATCATCGCTTACCATTCAATCCCAGAGGAATGAGTCGTCTAGACCTCCAATGGGAAGCCCGACGACGCGGTCTTCCCACCAAAGGAAAACGCTCCGAAATAATCCAACGAATCAACCGTCTCGAATTAAAAAAAGGAATCCAAGCCCCTGACTTCTACCAACGCGAAGCGCAGCTGCGTCTCGATTCCGTCCAACTCCCTCTCTTCCGCGTTCTCGAGCCCCAGGAACCAGTAAAATCGACACCCCAAACTCCCTTAAAACAACCTCCTTTCGACACGGGCGAAATCGTCCTCGTCTACGGTCACTTCACCGGCGACGAGACCGTGTGTCTCGTGCGCGACTATGAAGGAAATCGCGGACGCATCAGTATTGATTTTCTCGAAGAAATCCAAATGCCGTTCGGACTCAAGTTGAACCGACGCGAATTAGTCGAGGTGCTTGAGAGATTGGGCTGGGCGGATGAAGTGGAGAAGACGCCTGAGCCGGAGGAGGGCACCGACGAGTGGAAGGCATTGGCGGCGAAGAGACGTGCGGAAATGGAAAAGGCGGGGGCGACGCAAATGTGGCAGGATTATGATACGAGGTGGAAGGAGGGGATGAAGAGAAAGAAGAGGGCTGAGGATGCGAAGAAGGCGGAGAGAGAAGCGAAGAAGGCAAATTGGCAGCTGCGGCGAAAGCGGCGGGGGCTAAGTGACGGATTTGACTTTATGGGGATTGGGGATTGGGTTTTAGGTTGGATAGCAGTTGGTTTTGTGTGGTAGAATGGACTAGCTTGTTTATCTCCTGTTTATTGTATGTATTCAAAATGTATGATGATATATCACATTTGCATTTGAAAATAGGCCAAGAATACGAATCGCTATTTATTTTGGTATCAATGTTATATTTAGTTCTTTTTATCCCATACCACTCACTCCCAGCAAACATCTCGCTTCC